GCCCACTAAATTATGTAATTACCTTTCAGCTTAAATATATACAAATGGAACCGGAAGGTGGTATTGACATAATGGTTTAATAAAGGTCTTTGATTTTAAATTAAGTAAATTAAATGTTTAATTTTAAATTTATAAAAAAAAGAGAGTTGAAATCCCTTTAAGAGGTGCTTAGAAGTATGCAATAAAATTGGCGAGGTACCAACTTTGTGAGTTTTGTGTGTTTTTTACTATTTAAAATATGGAATCCCCTTTTTCCCTATAATTTATTGCACATTTTCTCCATCTCCCTTACAAACTGTATAAATATTCCACAACTCCCCCCAAAACTCTATTCAGCAAACTAATTTAATTAGCTCTCCCCTAAGCTAAGAAATCAATTTAAAGTGAAAAATGTAGCCCATTTAATATACTGCCGAATAATGTCAGCTCAGCTCTTGGAAAAGAAATAAAACTTTAAGTCAATCAGGGAAAACCATTTTTGAAAAGCGCTTGCAACAAATCCAAGCGAAACGAAGGATTTTCGAAAATATTTGACATTTTCATTGTGTGCAACGCGGGGCAAAAGGACACTGATGACTAGGAAAGGGACGAAAGGACGAGGAGGAGCCGCGTTGAGCGCTTGTTTAACTTAAATTGCTTTGCTCTGGCGCTGGAGAGATGGCGAAACAAAAGCCAACAACTGCAACTTTGCTCAATGCGCTTCCGTTTCCGCTACCCAACAGCAGCCATGCTTACTTCTGCCCCACCCCACACTTTCCACCCCTGTTTTCCTTCGTTTTCCCCCGTTTTCTCGACCGTTTTCCCCGCATTTCGTACAACTCCTTGGCACAGCCAAAGTTTGGCATTGTTGTCTTTGGCTGTTGCTTGTGGCAATCACTTTCATTCGTTTTCCCCCGTTTTCCAACCCCCTCCCTTCGCACCTCTCACCTTCTCCCAAGAAAAACCGCCAAACACTTCCGTTCATCTTCCGGCCCTTCTAGCCCGGGTACTACCCATCTTCCCTTTGCCTGGCCTTTGTAGCAAAGTTTAAGTATAAAATTTAGTTTCTTTTGGCTGGGAAAATGCATTTCCCAGAGTCAGCTTGATTTACCCCATGGAATTGCATACGTTTTTTGATTGAGCAATTAGGGAAACAGCCGGGGGGTGACAGCACTGGTGCGGTGGCAGTGCGGTGTGATTGCTTTTCAAATTTCATTTAAAGTGTCAGCCATACCGGAAAATATTCCATTTTCATAATTTGACAGCCATTGCGGGACGGGTTTGGCTTTGGCTTTCGATTGTGTTTCGGCCACGAAACGAATTGAGTTGCAGGTGGCCAAAAGGGGGTCTCACAGGAGGTGGTTCCTGTCCTCCGCCCACCGAATCAACCAAAGCAACGGACAACTGTCGAGACCACAGTCGTGATTAGAGGTCGAAATGATTTTTGTGTGTCCCGTTTTTTGGTTAGAAAATATGGAATTGCTAAACCATTTGATGGAGAGTGGTTATGGGATGGGAATAGAAGAGTACCTAAATGACGTTTTTAGGGAACGGTTGGGGGTATCTGGTAGTTGTTGTGTTTATTTTGTTATGCATAATAATTAATAACATAGGGAATCCCTGCACAATATATATTTATAGATTTTAAGTCACCATTAATTTTTGAAGAGTCTTGCATTTAAAGTTCCAAATTTTATACCATTTAAGCAACTTAAACTTTTCAAAATACCAAATTCAAGGATTAAAAACATTGCTGAGACCACAAAAGTTGCCGGATAAGTTAATTGTGGAAAACGCTTGCCACCATTGACATTTAAAACCAAACGCTTAATTGCAAGTGCCAATCGGCAGTTTCCCTCATCAGCAACGCTTCCTGCCAACCCTTCTCCCCTGATCCCACAACAATTTTGCCACTTTGGCTTATCACACGTTGGCGCTGTCCTTGTCTCCTGGCAAAACCGCAGAGAAGTAAAAAATAAAACGAAAAACGACAAAAAAAAATAAACGTAAGCGAAAAACAAACAAAATGCAACTTGCAATGAAATGAAACCGCAAAAGACGGGGACCAGAGAAAACGAGGAGGAAAAGACAACGTAAGCCATTTACTCGTTAACTGTTAATTCAGGACGAGCAAAGTAGATAAAGAGGGTGAGGAAATAGGATACAGGAAGACCTATTAAGTTTAAATTTTGTTATGTATAAAAATATTTCTAAATAAATTAGGCTGAGAGACTTAATAAAATATATCTTTAAAAAAGTGGAAACCAGCTTCTTCACAACAAAAGTCTAAAATAAATGTAAAGGATAAGTATTTATTTTTCTAAAAATTTATATTTTCTAGATAATAATAATCTTAATCATTTTGAATAAGGTAAACACACAATTTAAAGCATTGATAAATACCCAACACTAATTTATTTCAATTAAATTTTGGCTTCAAAAGAGATTTCTATGTAATTTAAAAACCATTTTCGAATCCCCACTGTACCTGCAACTTGCAGGATAAGAAGGATAGCTAAAGGGAGTGCCAAACGTGCCAGAATGTGGCTAATAACAAAGCGCCAGTGCCGACACAACACATTTGCACATCAAATTAGATTTAATTTCGAAAACAGCCAAAAAGAAACAAAAACCTTTCTTTTTGCACAAAAACGAAAATAGCAACAAAATGGCAATTGCAAAAATAAACGTAAAAAAACCCAAGTCAACACGCAACAGCAACAAAAACCGAGAAAAAATGTGACAACCAACAGACAAAAAGTCGTAAAGATGCCAAAAACACACAGGGAATGGAGTCACGTGTCCCCTACGTTTAAATTACTCCGCTGGGACGTATACACTCATATATGCACAAACACATGCACGCGCAAATGCAAGTGAAGCCCTATAAAAAGTCCTTCGAAATACACTTATCCTTGCAAGGATCCTGCACGAGGTTCGTGAATGAAACACCATAATATTAATGGCCGCCCTTAGCTGAATTTGAATTCTTGGCGCCATCGAGGCAGTGTTGCATATTTAAGGGCTGATTTTACCAACACTGTTGCGGTCTGTTATTGCTTATTATGTTATGTTATTTAAATTAATATGTTAATAAGTCACTAAATTTATATATAAATGTATTTTATAAATTATATTTAAAAATATTTAAAGATCTTTAAAAAATAGATAAAAAAATGTTAACCTACAAAAGATATATTTTTTTAATATTAAATATTTGTATATATATTTTGTTATGATTATTCAAAATAAATAAAAACAATGACTTGTGTTTTTTTATTTTAACTCTACCGACACAATTTTATAAAGCGTTAAAAATTTGTAAAGATTAAAAATATATGAAAACATTTGTATTTTCAAATAAATTAAATGTAGTTTGAAGATTTTTAAACTTTGAAAAAATAAAAACTAACTTACTTTCTTGTTTTCAAAGTAGATTTAATAATTGAAAAAATATAGAACTATTTTTAAAGGATACAAATGTTATTTATCGCAAATATCTAACTTGTTATATGTCAAATTAAACACTCTTTAAACGAATAAATCCCCATTTAAGAGTTAATTTTTCATTTTGTTTCGTTGTGGATTTTTTATGGGGGTTTCCGCCACGTTGACCACGGCGAAGCGGAAATACCTCATATAAACCCGTCATAGTCGCGCCAAGAAATGGGAATAACAATTCATATTGGACACAAAAAACGCACACTGAAAGTAAAGCAATTTAAACGACTTTAAAATGCCCTGCAAGGTATATTTTTTGCATTGTAATAATCCCATTAAAAAAAAAGCCAAGGATTATTCTTACCCAATTCTTAACTTCGCTGCCATTTACCCAGTCAACATGTTAATTCCATTTGGTTTTTTAATTGACTGCCATGGCAATTTAAAAGAGATTTCCATTGCCCCATGAGCACCTTCGATTGCATGTGGAGCAGTCGTTCTTTCTTGCATGGCTTTTCTTCGTTTCTGGGTATCAAGTGAAAATCATCAGTTTTCATTTCTAGCGTTTAGGGGCGGTTCAGTCCTTATTCTGAGCATGTGTGCGACGGCGGCGGTGCTCATTTTTGAATTGCAAATGCGACTCGCAGTGCATTCTTCACATGTGCAGAGGGGGAAGGTGGTGGCAAGGCGAAGAAGGGGATTCCCATTTCCAGGCAGCCATTGCATGCCAGCCGAACATTGCAGCTTTGTAATGTCCTGCTGTTAGCGCCCCTTGCTCACTGCCTTTGCCAGCGCCTTGATTTCGTGGTAATTAAAACTCAGTTCACCTGTGAGTTTACGGTTTTGAATGGGCATTTTGGTTAATTGTATTTATTATTTGAACGTAAATCAAGTATTTAACAGAGCTATAACTTATAACAATTATTTACTATATAGTATATATTTGATTGCCTTTATGATTTGTATTTAATAATCCTATTGTAAACATATATTTCGAGGCTTCTTTACATTTATCTTTCAATAATATTCAATGCTTTATTTTAAATATTATTTAAGAGGTATTACTTTATTCGTTACTGTACCTTTTCTGCAACTAATTCCCTTTTTCCTCCGGAGCAAGTTTCCATTTATGGCTAACTAGTGTTGGGTTTCTTACTCCGGCTTGACAATTAAGACTTAATTAAAATTGCATGCACTTTAACCTTCGCCCTGAACTTTCATTGCTTTTAATTACAATATATTAATATGGGCTTGTCGTGACTTTTACGCCGGGATTATATAATCGTTTTAGCCATAACCGAAGAAGACATTAAGGTATTATTTTCAAATTTAGGGGCCATTTAATGTTATTTAATTAATGTAATGTTAAATGAAAGGCCATAATGTGAAAGATTTATTGTTATAAAAATATAATTAGATTAAAACTCCCCTTTGGCGGGTAATCTCCCATTTCCCGTTAGCTAACAGAGAAATGTTAACAGTTAACAGAGCCTTGCCAGACGCACCAACCGGCAATTACTCACCCAAGAAACGATAACAAATCAGCTGTGCGCCCAAGTCTGGCAACCCTCGTCCCTCATTTGCATTGTTTACATTTTTTGTTTGCCGCACGCAAAGCTAAAAAACATTAGAAAGAACCGCGAATATAAAAGTAATTGAAACTTCAGAGCCTAGACTCAGTTTTACATGAGCTGCCAACGGCAGAGCCACGCGTCCGGAGGCCCAAGGAGCGCCATTGGAGGCCATCGCGTAGTCGGAATCGGAGTCGCACCTTCGCCGCCACATTGCTGGCGTGACTGCGTCGCATTAAATCACCGGAATCACCGAAGAAATCGCGGCGACGAACAACAACCGGAAGTGCAGCGGAGCAACTGGTGGTCATGGAGGTTTACGCCTGGGTAGGACATTGCTTTTAAGCCCACGCCCTTATTTTCAGGAGGAAATCAAGAAAATAGACGGGTTCTGAGACCGAAGTAGGGAATACTCTTGTAGAATCTTTAAATGGGTTTGTTTTTAGAGAATCTAGGATATATGTTTTTGATTGTGCTGTAAATGAAATCTATTTATGTTGTAATACCAATCTCCAAATAATTTTCTAAGATTTATTCTTTTTTAACTTTGAACTCTGTATATTAATCTGGAATACACTCTATTTAAAATATTTAAATATAAACATTTAAAGTCTATTAAACATTTTGAAACTATTTTCAAATATTTCAATTTGAAACATCTATAATTATATTGTAATTTTTCAATAAAATTCCCATTATATCAGATTAAATATGATTTCTTTTCAAACCCTTAAAATGTAAAATGTTTTTAAAAGTTTGAATTTTCCCTAAAGTTTCCAACTTCTTAACTAAAATTAACCTACCCCTCGGCAAGAGTATTCCAAAATAACAGAGACATCGCCGCGCAGCGATTTGCATTGCAAATTAATGAGTGATTTCCTTTGGTGGCCTTTTTGTTTGCCCATTTTCGTGATGTCTTAGGGTGCCAATTCTCACGGCCAGCTCGGCCTTGGCTTTGAGTCCGAGTTGTGCATGACACCGCAGCGGGTGGCCAGGAGCTCCTGCTCCTTTGCCGCCGCCCAGGTGCGCTGTATTCGCGGCGGAGGCGGCCACGTCCTCATCCTCGACACGAACGGAAGGGTGCATGCCTGTGGCTGGAATAATCGTGGTCAACTGGGCCTGGATTCATCGGAGGAGTGCCACAACGAGTTTAAGATGATTCCCAGCGAGTATTTTGGGGTGAGAAATTATTGAATCATTAATAATTTCAACACTAATATCGATTAAATGCAATACTTTTAGGAAGTTCCTGTGGACACAATCAGTTGTGGCTGGGACATCTCCGGCGCCATCACCTTGACCAAACGGCTGTATGTATGGGGCTCTAATGCCTTTCAGCAGCTAGGAATCTGTCAGCGTGGTTTTCTGGCCGTCAGAAGACCCATGCCAGTGAAGCTACCTCGGGAAGAAGAGTCCATCCGGATCAGCTTTGGACTCCGCCACTGTGCCGTACTCACCCAGGACCACAAGATCTACGTCTTCGGACGACTGAGGATTATGGATCCACCGCCCATCGAACTGGATATCACGGCCACCTGCCTGCACCGCTGCAATACGATAAAGATACAGGCCCACAATCCCAACGAGCTGAGAATCGTTTCCCTTTCCAGTGGTCAGAATCACATGCTGCTCAAGTGTGTGGATCTGAGCGAATCGGGTGGCGGCAGCACCAAGAGGATTCTCACGCTGGGCGACAACAAGTTCGGCCAGTCCAATGCCTTTCTCTTTGAGGAGGATGTGCGACAACTGGCCGTGGGCTGGACCCACAATGCAGCGGTGCTGAGGAACAACGAAATCCTGCTATGGGGTCGCAATTGCTATGGCCAATTGGGAATCGGATCGTTTAGCGAGCAGCAGGCTATACCCACTCCTTTGCTTCTGAAGCTGCCAGAGGATCAGTCACCGGCCAGAGTACACATGGGAGCGGAGCATGGACTGCTGAGGACTTCGGCCGGAGCAGTCTACACTTGGGGTTGGAATGAGCATGGGAATTGCGGCAATAACAGCACGGAAAATGTGTAAGAATTTGAATTACAACATAACATTTATAACATATTTTTATAAAACATAATTGTAATGTGTAAATATTGATATCTTATATAAGAAGGTAATTTTTATATTATTTAAGAAGTATTGCAGAAAAATTAACACAAAAAAACAACGAAATATATTAATTATAATTTTTAAAGTTAAGAAAACTCATCTTAATAATTCATTAAAAATGTTTTAAATATTTTAAATTGCTTGTAATTCAATTACTTTAATCGATATCTTTTCAGATGCACCCCTACGCTTTTGGAACTGCCAATTGTTAAGTTGGCCGGGGCTGGAGCTGGCTTCTGTTATGCAATAACAGAGCCTGTTAACTGACTGCTTCCTGTTATACGCTGTTATACCGGTCACCTGTTTCTGTCTCTTTCTGCCGGCACGCTTGCGCATTAGCTCCATGAATTTTCTTGTGTTACTAAGTTGTAAAATGTTTAAAATAAAGAGCCAATTGTTATTAAAATAAGTCTTTTTAAAGGTGGGTGATGATAAATGAAAACTTCCGATTACATAAGAGAATATTAGTTTTTAATGCATAATTTCAAGGAATACTTAGCACACATTCATATGCAGCTTTTAGCCAAAAATCTCGGATACACACATGGGTGTGCATGAGCAAAAAAAATGGCACGTTGTTTTCTACCAAAAAGTAAACATTTTTAATTAAAATAACGCTTTAACTTGGACCAGAAACAAGAGTTTTCATTAGTTTTGAAACATAATTATAATAAAATAAATAAATAAAGTGGGCCATAATTCAATTCAATTCAGAGAGACTACACTTTTCATAAATATTTACATTTAGGCCTGACGCCTCTTTGATTATAAACAAAAAGCGCTGTCAGAAGTGTTTTTATATCCGATCTGGTTACTCCAGAAGCTAGCTTTCCTGAGGGCCTCATTTCTTTCCATTTAGTGTGCCTTGGGAGACGCTAGGAACAGGGTGTGCCGACTCTATGCTTTTTCCGAGAAATTTGGCATAAGCATTCCGTTACAACGTTTTTAATAAATTGTTCGTTTCTGTGTTCGAACCCAAAAGATGTCCGAGAATAAAAATGAAAAAAAAGAGCCTCCGCCTCCACTGGACGAAATAGATGCCGAGGAGTTGCTGGCCACCACTCAAGGTATGACATCTTAACCATATAATGTCAAATAAATAAATCGAAATCCCCTGAGTCACAGCCAATATTTCCAATGAACTGGCCAAGAAAATCTGGAGTGTGACGACCAGCGACGTTGCCCTGGGAATACGTGAGTTTCCTGGAGAAAAGCTGCCCTATGTACCCTCGGATATTGGATCAATACTGGCACCTCCGGCGGGTTCAAGAAGCGGAATTGGAAACAGATTTGGAAGTAAGCAACATGCGAATGAAAATGCCACCGCCCACATCCTCGAGGTGGGCAGGGCTCTGTACGGAGAGACCTACGGTTTCCCGGAGAATGAAAGTCCCAACTATTATAAGGCAGCCGAGAATTACTCCCTCTTCGGCGAATACTTTCTCGACTTTCCCAAGGACACGGCTACTTGTTTTGCAGATCTGGAGCAGACGTCGGACGGGGACTCTAAGCCGCCACCGGGATTCGAGCGGGCAACCACCAGGACGTCTTTACCCTTTGATAAAAACCAAGCCCAGACCAATGGAGGAGCAGCAGCTCCAGCCTCGGGATCCAAGTACTCTGGGGTAAGATATTCGTGGGGATTTTACTTTAAAATATATAATATATACTTGAATTTAGCCCCCTTGCTCCGCACCCGTGCCACAGCCACAGCAGAGACAGGCACCGCGTCCGCAGCAGCCCGTGCAGCATCGCCAGCCAGGCGATGAGAAAACATTTCCCCAGATGTATCAATTTAATCAGCTGGCACCACAGACTCAGCTTAATCCTTCGCACCACCAGTCCTGCCCGCACTTGCATGGTTCCCATGTCCAGCCGCAGCCACCTGTGGGTTCAGTCCCTCCGTCGAACATGGCAACAGCTTTACAACAGCAGCAGAAGCAACATCGTCCGGGTGGAGCCCTCATAAATGGCGCTGAAATCGGAGGAGGCCTGTGTGGCCACAGTCACGTCCATAATCATGGTCAGGGCCATGCCACTGCCAATGAGTTCAACTTGTCCCAGCTCTATCAGCAACTTATGGCCCGCAACATGAGGACCAATCCTCTCCACCACCAGCTGCATCATCAGCAGCAGCATATGGCCCAGAACCAGCAGCAGCATCATCACCATACAACAACCTGTGCGGCTGCTGCGGCAGCCATGATTTATGCCAACTTTGAGAACCATATCCGCCAGTTGCATCTGCAACAGCATTTGCAGCAGCAGCAACAGCAGCAACATCAGCAACATCAGCAGCAGCAACAACAGCAGCAGCAGCGTCATGCCCGTATACCAAGGGGCATTTACGGCGGTAACGGACAGGCAGGGCCAGGAGCAGCAACAGGATCAGGAGGTGGAGTAGGCGCCACTCCTTCAACTAGCCAGGAACCTCCAACAACTGGTCACAAATAAGGTCAGTTATGGAGAGAAAAATTAAGGGAACCTCTAATTAAACTAATTTTTTATATAAATTTTACACTTAAACAAAATTTAACACTGTAATTGGTGAAATTACAAACAAAACAAACTAATTTTTCGGTCCAATCATTGCTAATTTTTAAGGTTTCTTGAATATAAAACGTATAGGTTTTTAGGAATTTAGAAATTATAATTTTACAATTAATATAATCTACACTTTATACTTTTTAACTTTTAGTACTTTTACAATTAATTTAATCTACACTTTAAATGTATTTCCCATTTTAGGATTAATAAACATTTATACACTAATTTTTAACTCCTTCAAACAGCTGGTGCAATGCCCATTCTTTTGTTCTTCAAATCAAACTCCACATAGTTCTCCCTCAGGAAAACATCACCGATTATCCACTTGGTCAGACCCCGCATATCCATGATGCCCACGAAGCAGAAATCGGAATACCTAATCACATACGTCGCTGGATGCACATAAAACATAGTGCCCTCGATCTGGATTACCAGGTGCGGCAGAGTCTCAATTAACTTGCAGTCAATGGTCCACAGATCCAGAGTGGCATCGTACACGGCTGCAATGGCCTGCATCAGGCCATGCACCTCCGTGACGGGGCCCACTATCAGAGAGGTTCCCGTGTCCATGATAGCCGGGCATCCCGACTCACATGACCTGACATCCGTTCCATGGAATCCTATGGAACCCATTTGAAAAGACCAATACTTCTCCTCGGTCACTTTCGTGTAGGTCAACGGGCCATAGTACAAACTTGAGTTGGATCCCCCGATTATGAGTAACCCACCGTCGCTGGAGCCACTCTTCATGTAGAACGAGAAGATCTGATTCTCCAGCAATTCCTGGGCCAACATCCTCTGAAACGGCGGCAGGGTACCGATCTGGGAGAGTCTGGGAAAAGCCATGCCAAGGATCCCATCGAAAACCGAGCAATCGGTGGTGTCATTGACCAACCCAAAGCCCTGATTCTCGACCCTCAAGTCCCCGATGGTGAGCACATCGTTGGCCACCAAACCCTTGACCGATCCCGATCCATAAGTGATGCTAAATCCGGTTTTATTTTGATGCAGTGTATCAGATTTGGATTCCTTGAACAAGCTGCTGCCACACTTTTTGCAGGAACCGCACTTGGAACTGGGCAGCCACAGGTCCGAGGAACCAGTGTCATATTGGACTGTAAATGTCTGTGGGTTATTCCCACCCATTTTTATAGTTCCAAAGAAATTCGTTTCACAGGAATTCACCAGACGGGCCACCACCACTCCTTTGGAGTCACTTCCTGTATTACTTGTTGGCTCTATTCCACCATTAATTGCATGGATGGGGGTCAAGCCGTGCTTTCCCCTGATCCTATTCCGATTGGCTAGGTAAACCGAGATATGCGGAAACTTGTGGTGGCGGCGACTGTGCTTGCTGAGGCGAACGCGGTGCATCCCGGCACAGAGCACGATCTGGCAGAGGAGTAGGGTAATCACAGGCAAGTTCATGGTCTTTAACTGGCTTTAAGCCCAGCCAAAGCTTGTGTTTTTATAGCTCGATTCTGAGGTGTTTATCGTTGGACTAGACATCAACATGCACACGTAAAGGTGACTTCGAATATGTGATTTAAGCTCAATATTAAAATACGGAGCGTGAATTAATACGCAGTGTAATTGCAGACTGTGGAATGGAAGTAGTTTGTAAAGTTTCGAGAGGGGTTTTTATAATTTATTTTATTATCTGTACAAAGTTTACAATTGGTATATTAATAATGACATAAATTGTATTTAGTTGTGTGCCTGTAAAGGACATAAAAATAGTCCTCTACAACATCAAGTGCTTTAACATAAATTTATTTCAAAGTATTATTTCTTCTCATTGCACTGCCTTGCCAATTCCTATTTGATGATACTCCAAATCGAATACCGTATAGTAGGCACCCATGAAACTGTCACCGAGAATCCACAAGGAGTTTCCCTCCAAGCTGGTAAAACTGGAGACACATACATTTCCATATTGCAAAACATATTGTGAGGCCTTCAAGGGCAACTCCTTGCGGGCAATGGTAAAAACCATATCCGGTAGCAAAGAAACCGTTGAGCAATCCACAAAAAACACACCACTAGAATCATTTGGATTTGTAACACCCAGTAATTTGTTGATAATCGTAATAGCTTCTACCGGTACCACAATCATGGAAGTGCCTGCATCTAAGATGGTCTCACAATTCAAACACAATTTGGTTCCATTAAGCGTAGCACTCGTCATTTGAAACTGGAAATAAGCTGCTGTGGAGATCGGCACATAGGTGAGACATCCACTATACAAACGGGAATCGGTGGCTCCTAGAATCAGTTCACCACCATTCAAGGCATTCGTGCCATTCCTTTGGAAGTATATGGAAAACCCTAGATACTCTATGTGGCCTTGATCCACCAAGTTATACAGGAGCGGGGTCACTCCTCCCACGGCTATGGTGTCATAAGCCAGACCCAAGATTCCATCAAACGGAGAGTTGAGAAAAGGTTTCAGTGGCTCATCGATAATCTCGGCGAATCCCTGGTTTAGCGTTAAATAACTTCCAATTTTAACAATATCCTGGGATATAAAACCGGAAAGTGCCACTCCGCCATCTCCCGCATTTGAAGCATATTCGATCCGGAAGTTGGTGTTATTAACCACGTGGGTCTTGGAAGCCGTTGAATTGTATTTCCTGTGATTCTGGCAGGGCGAAGACGTACACTGTATGGAGGGCACCCAAAGATTGGCTGAACCCGTGTCGATCAGCACCGAAAACTCCTGGGGAGGAGTTCCAATCTCTATTCTGGTATAGTACATGGTGTTGGCGTAATTTCCCAGACTTGTACCTCGATCCTTTGAGGGAGCCACAGTTGTGGCATCCTCCACCTTGAGTTTGTGCTTGATGGAAAGGCTTTTGAGTTCGTTTTTCAAATTGTGGTGACTTTGTTCGGGATTTCTGTGCCTTTCAAATTTCAAACGCTGCAGGGCATCCACTTTTAATGCGAAGAGAACTATTAATGTCATCCATAACTGAATTAATTTGCACGAGTTACACTTTAGCCTCATGGTCGGCGCTTCGATTTGTGTGAACTGAGGCCTAGTTGGTCACGTATTTATGGCTCGGCAGCTTCACCTGGTTTTCATACGTTCATTGAGATAAAGCCAGCTCTGGAGCCGACTTCGATCGACTCATACCATTTAGCGAAGAATTTCACACGCGATAAGACATAGGTGAATTTGAACATTTTTGGGGGTGTTGCCAAATAATAAATGTACTATATAGTACAGTGGTTTAGGTAGGCATTTTACTTGATAAATTTAAGGGAGTATTTTTGTTTAAATAAAATATAAATAAACAATAAAAGTTAGTGTCCAAAAAGGTAAGAGAAACATTCAGTAAAAGTTCCTAATAGCTAGCTGAGAATCTAATCTAATATTATTCAGGTTGCTATTTTAATAACAATTAAAGTAAGCCGCTTTGTTAAATATTTCCATGCATATATTCTCTTTTAATATTCTTCTTTTTTTTCTATTTTTATAACCTATATTTTTCCCATTACTCTCGTTCGTTTGTTCACATCTTAAGACCTTAAGCCAGATTTGCGAAACCCACGCGATTCTGGCCAAAATCGAACTCGGTGTAATACTGGCCCAGGAAGACATCGCCCAGGATCCAGAAATCGGTGCCGATGTAGGTGAAGGTGGACATGCAGGTGTTGTAGTTGCCATCCGTGTAGGTCTGGATGTACACGGAGGGAGGCAGGTCGAAGTTGGTGCCGCCAATGTTGAAGGTCAGCACCGGCAGGGAGTCCACAGTGGCGCACGGTACATAGTAGTCTCCCTGGATGAGAACGGCGCCAATCAGCTGGTTGATCTGGGCATAGGCAGCCGGCGGGCAGGCAATCAGAGAGGTGCCAGTATCGGCGATGGCCTGGACTCCACTGGACACCACGGTGCCGTTCCAGGTGATGTTGTTCACACTGAACTGCCAGTAGCCCTGCTGGGTGACTGGGGTGTAGGTCATCTCACCGGAGATCAGGCTCTGATCGGTACCGCCCAGCGTCAACTGGCCGCCATCCTCGGCGGTGCCATTCCTGCCCAGGTAGAAGCCGAAAACAGGAGCATCGATCAGTCCCTGGGTGTAGAGATTGTAGAAGGGTGGCACCACATTATCCTCGGCAATCTGCTGGAATCCCATGCCCAGAATACCGTCGAAGGCGACATCAGTGAAGCTGTTGCCCGGCTGCGAGACGGCCTCTCCGAAGGTTTGACTGGCGATGGCCAGGCCATTGATGGTCACGGTGTCTGTGGCAAGGTAGCCAGTCACGCTGCCGGTTCCGTACTGGATGGAAAAGTTCTGGCCACTGGCCACATAGGTGGAGGAGGCACTGGAGTTGTACTGGTCGTGCTGCTGGCAGGCCACATCGCTGGCCAGGCACTGGGCCGAGGGGATCCAGAGGTTGGCAGAGCCCGTGTCGAAGACCACATTGAAGTACTGCGGGGGAGTGCCAATGCTGATCTCGCCGTAGTAATACATGTTCATCGAGTTGCCCAGCTCCTCAGATGTGTAGTCCGTATCCTGGCTGGGATAGTCATAGTCGGGCTGGACATAAACCGGTGCTCCATCGTCGTAGATGACGAGATCGCGGAGATGGTGACGGATGATCTGGTGCACCTTGTGCTTCAGTATGTGAACGGCAATCTTGCGGGCCAAATGGGACTTCTTGTGCTCCCTCTTGTGAATCTTGACCTTGTGAACTTCGGCACTAACCAGGACCAGGATGGCCAACAGCACGAACCACTTCAACATTTTGTTTTTGAGACTTTTGGTGTACCTTCCCTAGCCCAAGAAATATCAGTTCTCCCCTTTTTCTGTCTGGGGCTTGACTGAAGAAAAACCACTTACCCTCCGGTATTTATATCACTACGGTGATAGGGTAAAAAACTGGCCCAAAATTGATCACCAATCGATTAAGTCTACTGGACGAAGCGAAGATATCACAATTGATCGATCGGGAGGCCCTTGTTTATACGAGTTGGGGCCGTGCTGGAATTTAGATAAACTGAACTCTTTAAGTCGGCGAATTTTCAATGAAAAATTGTGGAAATTAACTGCAAAATTTGCACTCCATTGATAACAAAAAGCTAAATTTGTTGTAAACAAATCAATTTGCCCAATGATAGGTACAAATGAATATCTTATCTTGTATTTTTAAGGAGGTTTGCGTTCAAAGAAAAAATTAATATTATTTAACACTTAATTTTCTTATGGCTTAGGGGGATTTCTTGTCTTCCTGGTAAAGTCTCAGATAGCTATCTGATAGTAAACCCAAAATAAACTAATCGCAAAAGTTAATCAATGTTCTTGGTGCCTGTAATTTATCAAAAGGATTAAAATTAAAAGTCTAAGCACACAACGCCCTCCCATAAAACGACAACTGTTTTAATTTTATTTCCAAACTTTATATCCCATTACCAAATTAATATCAATTTTAATTAACAAATCATTTTGAAAATAAAATTTTAAATTTGTTTTCTTTTTTTTACAGCTTTGGAGCAATGCCTATGCGCTTGTATTCAAAATCAAACTCCAAGTAGAAGGGCGCAATAAATGCGTCTCCAAACACCCATAGATTGCTTAGTCCCTGCAATCCATTGCAGTTTGTAAAGGCAGAGATGCAGGTGCCGTTGTAGTTCAGAATATAGTCCGATGGCTTCAGAGTAAAGTCCTTTCGCCCAATGTTAACCGTGATATCCGACAAGCTGGACACCTTGCTGCAGGGCACTATATAGACACCATCTTTGGCATCCAATGCTTCGATTTCCAGCTTCTGGTTGATAGTTCCAATAGCATTTGAAGGAACGCAGATCAATGAGGTTCCTATGTCCACAATGGCTTCGAATTTGGTGAATAGCGTGGTCGTTCCCAGGCTAAATCTGGCCACAGGGATCTGCCAATAGCCCGTGTTCGAGATGGGAACATAGGTGATGCAGCCCTTGTAGAGTATGGGGTCTGAGCCACCCAGCAGCAATTGACCACCGTTGTTGGGATCCGAGGCATTGCGATTGAGGTACACTGAGAAAACTGGTGTGTCAATCAGGTTCTGGGAGAGTAAATTATAAAAAAGGGGAACCGCGCCATCGATGGCTATATCAATGAAGCCCATGCCCAAAATTCCATCGATGCCATTAAGTCTGGAAAAAGCTGCAGGCAATGAAGTGACCTCAGCAAAGTCCTGATTCTTCACTTTGAGGCCATCCAGCTCGACTGTGTCCCTGGAGACGAATCCTTTTAGGGTACCGTCTACATAATCAATCTGAATGGCTGTTCCGTTCTGCTTATAAGTCTTGGATTTAGCGGAATTGTAGCTACTCCGTTGCAGGCATAATTGCGTTTGGCATTGCGAACTTGTGACTGCGAGATTAGCAGATCCTGTATCCAGCAGAACTGTCAAGGGCTGACCACTAGAGCCAAATTCTAGCACCACAGTGTAAACGTTGTTGTAGAAATTCGTTAGATTCGCTGTGGGTAAAACTGTGGTGGGTGTTGAGGCTGTTGTTGTGGCCTGCGATTCGGTAATCATCAAATTATTTACGTTTCCTTGCACTCTTGTATTGTTGAGCTTCAAAGTTCCCAGGGCGCTGTGTCCTTTATGCCTTCGCATATGTATCTTGTGGTATTTCCTCCATTTCTTAGCTTGAACTTCACTTATGGCCAGCAGCAGCAGCAGCAAGGTCAGTGCCAGACCCAGTTTCTTTAGAGACTGCGTCTGCATCGTTCTCCGAATTCACTTTTTGCCCTTAGCTTATGAGGGGTCACGTATTTATAGAACCTAAATTCCATAATTATCGGGTCCGCTATGGGGTTATTTTTGGGTGGAAAGGATTACTTTGTCACGTGGCCCGGATGTTACGCAGAAAATATTTATGTCTTTACGTGATTTATTTAGGTTCTTGGAATAAAAGAAAATATTTATATAAATAAATTCTTTAAATTTATTTAACTTTTAATATTTAGAAAAGAATTTTTATTTTCATATTAACATATTTTTTGAATTATTAAATAAAATTAAATAACATTTTCTATTTTAAACGCTTCTCAGCGCCAGTGAAACTTCTTATCAATAGTTCCCCGAATAAACGGGTATTTCCGGTGGCGCTATTTGTTGATGTGAAAAAGTGTATCAGGAATAAACACGACTGTTTAAAATTAGTAGTCACTTGTCAATAATAATGAATCTTTATCATATTCAATTGGTTATCCTTAAATTTACTTAGTACATTGCGCACAAATTTGTATTCCTTATCATATAGCCATCTCGGATTTTATTGCCATGTAAAAAATACAAAATTGAATTATTATTTGGCTCTCAAAACAAAATTATTAACAAATTGTAAACAATTTTAAATCTATAAAAATGAACAACGGAGGAGAGTTGGCGGTTTGGGACGCACGGCCGAATCCTGTTCCTGAATTTGGCTTCTTTCGTAAGCAGGATGAGCTGATGATTATGCTGCCGGAAGTGTCCAAGCTTCACGAGATCTTCGACATGTTTGTGATGTTTGGAAAGGATGCGGGCGCTGGTAAATCAAAATTGTAAAAATAACCATCTTTCTTATTATTAGCCTTGCATTTCTTTGATCTCAAACAGATGCATCCCGCATAAGCCTTTCGGATATGGCCGACTGTCTACGCTCCATGGGCGTTAACCTCAGTGACCAGTGGCTCGCCGCTCGCCTGGATGAGCAGATGCACCGCCGCCAGGCTCTGGGTCTTCTGGGAGCGCCAGTGAGTCAAAGGGTGTCCTTTGAGTTGGTGCTCAGTCTTTACTGCCAGCTGGCCGATCGGAACGAAGGACCCTCGTCGGAGGAGGTGATGAGTGCCCTGCGCACTTTGGATCCGAACAATACAGGAAAGCTCTCCTGCACCGAGCTGCGCCGCCTGCTAATCAGCATGGGAGAGCGGCTCGAAGAGTCGGAGGTCATTGGCCTGCTGGATCGCGTGTCGGACATCGATGGTAACGTGCAATACGAGAAGCTGGTGCTCGACATGTTTGGCATGGACGGCGGGTCGGAGGAGACGCGGAACCAGGCCAAGATCTACTTGCAGGCCATTGGCCGCAATGCCATTGATATGGACATGGCCAAGCGGGATGAGTTCATTGATGCCTTAAGGCGCGCGGACCCGCTAAACAGCGGCTACATCGAGCTCCCACGTCTTTTGACACTGGTAAACCGAAGAAGGAAGTGTTTTACCTTGGACGAGCTACAGGTGCTCACCGAGGGTATGGAGGACACCAAATACTGTCGCGGCATCAACTATCGTCGCTTTTTGCGCTCAATTATGAATGAGTGAGCCTAAACTAACATTGGTTGGATTAAATATATAAATATAAACAGAACAAACAATAGAACTTTTGATGCTGATAGATAGGGGGAATGGCGGCTTCAGTAAATAAAATATATAGAGTCTAAAAGGAATCCCTTACTGAATTGTAAGCTTCTTAAAAAATTCGAATACCCCGCAAGGGTAAAATAAATAAACAACTCATTTAACTAATCAGCTTTTATTTCGACAACGCTTGTTTTTTTTACAGTTAAATCTAAGATCTACGCAATCCGATTAAAATTAGACTAAGGTTCTCTCCGCTCGCTGCCTCCGATTGCTGTTGTAATTAATACTCGTGGCCACAAAATTACAATATCCTTGCTTAGGTACACGCGCTTGTTTCTTGGCTAGTTACGTTTTAAAAAACAACTAAATTTAAAAATTAAAGCAGACTTTGGTGTTGACTGTTAGTTTCCATCTGTGGTTCTTTGGATATGCGTGGGATCGGATTGAAAGAAATATATAGCTAACTAAACAAACAACCTATACACAATCCTTATGGTCGGCTGGGTAGTTAGTGGACCATGGGAGTCCCAAGTATCATAGATTTTGACTTGTGCTGAAAAAATACAATTACTCTCTCTTTCTCTCTCTGTGGTGCATAAAAAGTGTTAAAAACGTTCTTTAGAGATTTACAAATTTTGCCTGTGGAATAGAAAAGGCAAAGCATTAATATAAAGCGATTCGATAGCTGGTAAACTCAGTAACTCATTTAACACTGGTTACAAAAACCCAATAATCGTGCCGAACAACTTAAAATTGCAAAATGTATAAAACTTGGATTTTCCATACGTACTCTGCCGATTTGTAGCTGCCAATAATTTCGAATGTATAAGTAGTATGAATGAGAAACACTTTTCGAGTGGTATGTACAAATTGTTCATATTTTATCATATTTATTTGTAACAAATCCAATTATCTTCAACAATTATGACACTTTTAGTTTTGGTTCTTTTGTTTTTGTTTCTTCACCTAAGACACATAAACACTTTAAACAATTATGGGGAAAAATATTGCAATGGAAAACAGTAATTAGCAGGTAAAAAAGAGATATGAAAAGCGACTTGTCTGACTTGAGGCATATATATAGGTCGTATATAGCTATATATGCCTTTTTATGGATGAAGATGACTGGTCTTGACTTGATCTATGCGGGTAGAGTAGTAGTATTTACAATATACATTTGACTGATCTGGTTTGGGTGTAACACAGTTTAGAGTTTTGGCGACGGCATGATGGACGTGTCCCTATGAAAAGTATAATATAAAAAAGAAGAGAAGAAAACAAATATGTTATGGATGAAAAATAATCAATTTGAACTTGAAAATTTGCAATGACTACGGCTGAAATATGGCTGAATAATAATTGGGTATGAAATGGATTTTGATGAGGATTTTGGATTGGTAATCACAATTTTGAAAGAAGATACAATAATTTTGAGAAATTTTGAATTTCGCTTCGAGTTTTATTATTCAGCATTTTGTATTAAAGTTAAAATTAAGCTACGTTTGGTTAGGAAACGGGAGCAGTAAATTAACATAAAATAAAACATTCCAAAATTAAAATTAAAGAAACAGAAGGTGCACAAACTAAGGTTAGGGAAAACTATAAACTTATAAATATAAAAACTAAGAAAAGAATTATTAAATCAAAGGCAAACAGTGAGAAGACAAAGCAGAGCACTTTTCGGGGGAGTTTCGGGATAACAGGATAGCGGGATAACGGGACATACGGGCGCAAACGAGATAAAACGAACGCGAACAAAACACTTACATATGCTCGGGGTGATTGCGTATGCAATCGATTAAATCTTTAGGCTTAAGCTGATTTGTGCATATTTTGTGGATAGCCGTGAACAGGGGGAATCTGTAATATAAAGAAAGATTAGTTAATATTTCTTTAAAATGATTATTATTTGTAGATGCCATACTTATCCTCCAGTCCCTTGTTCTTCAGCATGTAGTTCACCTCCTCGGCAGTGGGTGGTCCCTGCAGCTTCTGCCCGTTGAGCATCTCCTTCTCCAGCTCCTCAATGGTCTTGCCGGAAGTCACAAAAGCCTCAGAGACGCGACGGTTGCGGCCACCTGTTGAAATAGGAATTTTATTTAGTAATACCACAAACTATGGTAAATAAACCTCAGCTGAAGGCAGTTAGTAATTCAATCTTTGTTTTGTTTACAACTTGACATGCTACCGGTTTCCGATTATTTGTAAACATTGTTTGTTTAATTAATTTGCAAGTTCATTTTGAGACCACTTTGTGACTTTGCAAAGGTACGAAATAATAAGGAAATGTTTGTTTATAAAATTTACAAGTTGTTTTCATGACAACTTTGTGACTTTTTTAAAGAAAACATTTGTTTATAAAATTTTGAATTGTTTTTATCACAACTTTGCGACTCTATAAAGCCATTAGGTTGAGATCTCTAGAACTCAGATACGACTAAATAATGTTTCCATCACATTACTCACAAATTGATAAGTTATCACGCACTTTGTACCTGATAACTGCCTCCTTTTAACTTAATTGTTATACCTGAACTAGAGCAATTTGATAGCTAATGTTTGGGTCTAAGAATCACGCCACTGTGCCCCCGATGACCTCTCCCCGCCACTCACCGTAACACGTCGTGATCAGATCCGCCACACCGCAGCTCTCGAAGAAGGTGGAGAGCTTGCTGCCGGGGTAGAAGACGTCCACAAAGCGGATCATTTCCATGAGACCCAACCGAATGACGGCCGCCTTGGTGTTGTCGCCGAGCTTGAGACCATCAACGAAGCCCGCACCGCAGGCCACGATATTCTTGAGAGCGCCGCACACCTCCACGGCGTCGGCATCGTCCACTACCACGACGCGGAAGTGATTAGCCTGGAAGAGATCACGCAGCACCTTGCCGTACTTCTTGTCCGTGCAGCCAATGGTGGTCTCGCAGAAGTTGCCCTCGGCAACCTCATTGGCCAGATTGGCGCCCATCAACACGGCGCAGGGGATCTGCAGGGAAATCAAGCAGAAGATAAGACTTTTCAAAGGGTCACCTCTGCGTTGAAGACTTACCTTCAGGTGACGCGTGATGATGTGGGAAATCAGATCGATGCCACCGCCCTCGGCCTTGTCGAAGCCCTTGATCAGGGAAATGGCAATGGCATTGGGCTTGATCTTGCCCAGCAGCTGTTTGCAGAAGTTGGGGATGAACTGGTGGGGCACCACGAAGATCAGGATGTCGGCATTCTTGGCGGCCTCAACCAAGTCGGGCACGGCCACCTGTTGGGAAGTAGAGGAAATTTTGTTAATTACTATGTGATAAGGAAAGCGGTGATAAGCAGCCTAGTGAAGGTTGAATGAAGGGAACTGCAGACGGATTGCGGAAATCATTTTCCCAGCACGTGTTCTTTTTGGGGGCGCGTCTCTCTGCTGTCTAGACTACTTAAATCGCGGGCTCGCTCATTCGCCCGAGCCTGATATGGTAAGTAATATATTTTTTTCCACGTCGCTGCCTTTGCCAACCTGTTTGTCGCATTCCAAATGAGTTTATGCCGAGCAGCAAAATATAATATAAACTTGTTTGTGGGAAGTTTGCGATAGACTTTTTATATAAGTGTAAAGTTCACAACACCCAATTTAGATAACAGGCAAACTTGGCATTTGCACAAGGTTACGGTTACGTTAGGTAAAACGTTTATCTAATGTTTTGATAAAAAACTAAATAGATTATTTTTAGAGATCGAGAAATATACAGGTTTAGCTATTGTTTTTCCGTGTGGAAAATACACACATAATTTATTACTACAACTGTTAATTATATGTATTTATAGACTTGCTATTGGCGTTGATTAGCAGCTGCGAAAGCCTTAATCAAAAGTGCTAACCACTTGTGCCGATCTAAGCCGCCGCAGTAGAGTAGGTAAAGTGAAAAACAAAACACAAAAACAAACAATATTTTTATAGTATTTTCCGTTTTCGTTCGTGCCAAACCGATTAACTTGTTGACTCATTTTCATTGCCTTTGCCTTTGCATACTTGTTGCATTTCTGACATTGATCCCGATCATTGCTTATAGAAAATTGCTCAGTCTCATTTGTTTTTTTTTTTTTGGCTTCATCTGTTGTTGTTTTGGCGCCCAGAGACTAGTGAAAGCTTGCCAAAATTTACGAATATATGTATGTGTGTTCCAAATGGGCGAAGGCGTCTTCTAATTATACAAAACAAACCGACAAAGCATAAAAAAATCTAGCCTATATATTGTGTCTTAATATACCCTTACAGGGGGTATTATAATATTTTTAAGCCAGATGTTTGGGACTTTATACCTAACAAGCTAGTTTATAATGTTTCGAAAAAGCTTGCAAACTTTTATAGAACCCACACAATTGTTTATGAATGAATTTGAATATTATGAAATTTGAAATTTTTATAAATTACAGAAATTGCAAAACATATTTTTCATTAAACTTTAATCAAATTTAAGCATAATTTTCTATGTGACATTTCATTATATATAAATTTTTGTTTTTAATCCAGAAGAAATACATTTATTTTACCGCGCAGATTCACCAGAATAAGAATATTTATTTATATATGTTTTTCTTTGTTTATATATGCAGGAATATGTATTTGATTTAATATATATTTTTCAAGCTATATATGAATGCTTTATCTATTCTTTTTTCCCCTATATCTACCTTTTGTGCGATGGTTTATTCCCTTTATTTTAACTGATGTTAAGTCTTAAAGAGCACTTTTCGGTCGTTTTTAAATTAAAGCTACTGTAGCATAAAATTCTCCTACACTGGGTAAGGGTGTTCCCCCCTTCGGCTTAGCATATTTTCTCGCTGTTTTTCACGTTTCTCAATTTCCATGCCGCTAACGCATGGCTGTAATCGTGGGGCTATGTGTGTCTGTGCGCGGAGGTTTTTTTCCTAAGCAAGTTGGCAAACACTTGGCATCAACAGGCTGTTTACAGGGCAAACACTGGAACCAGGACAGCCGGGATGAATTACCGCCGAAGGTGCTGGACTTTACCACCCCACTACGAACCCGAAACAGTAGGGGCTGGCGGCGGCTTATCGATAATCGCCAAAACAGAACAGTTCAAGTGCTTTGTGGAGGACGTACATATGTCCAACTACAGCTTATTTCGAGTACCCTGCTTATCGGCCGTACAATTATATTGCCTAATGGGGAATATTGACGCAATTTGTGTGGCAAAAGTAAGGAGAAGCAGCTCTGGGGAGGGCCAAGCCGGCCTTGACCTACGTCAAAGGCGTCAAAGAGAGCTCCCCCCAAAGAGCGAGGGCGCAGGCGAAGGCGAGTGCAAAGAGAGTCGAAGGTGAAACTGCAGCGCACAAGGGAGAGACACAAAGAGACATAGAGAGAGCGCAGGTAAAAATAGACTTGCTTGCAGTTTGTGGTCTGATTAGATAATTTGGCGCTGCACACACGGTCAAGATCAAGGCGAGAGCCTTTTATGTAAGCCACAGGGCTGTTAACAATCCGCCACAAACCCATCTACACACACACAGCAGTTACATAAGCCCTCTGGGGGGGAGTATCCTGCGGAGGACTTACCACATTGGGGGGCAGCTTGTGGCCCTTCAGGTACTTGACATTCTCGTGCGTCTCGTTGATGATCTCCGTCAGCTTCTTGCCGTCGATGAGCTCCTCGTAGACGAACATGGTCACCCGCTCCTCGAACTCCGGCAGCGCGGAGGCATTGGCTCCCACGATTTTCGCTATGGCCGAACCCCTGCAAGGTCAAGGTGCGCGGTGCAAGGGCAAAGTGCAACCAATCATTATATAAGTGCATTGTCCAATTATCGAGGGTGCTCCTCCTCCACTCACCAGTTGCCGGAGCCCACAATGCACACGTTCACTTTTTCCGCCATTCTGAGTGCAGTTTCTGTGTCTGTTCTGTCTTTGTTGTTGCTGCTGTGCTGCTTCTGCTGCTACGGTGGGTGCTTCTCGCGGTCTGACTTGGCGATTCTGGCGGAGATTACGAACTTGGCGCTGCCCGTTTGATAACGACAACTGATTGCAACTGACACGTCGAGACACGAAATGCGAAAATCGCGGAGGTGCGAATCAGATCAAAACAGAGACCGTTGGAGCCGTGGGGGGAAATGCCGCCGTGGCGAAGGGGTTTTGTTGGTGTTTTCACTGTGAGCGCACCTGGTCACTCTATTTTAAGCGGATACCAAAACATTTAGCGTGGACTCAAACCTAGGATAAGAAGTGCTGTAAAATTACAAATGTAAAATAATTTCAAATTAAATTTAAATAATTTTTAAATAAGAAACTTAATAAGTTTTTTGACATATAATATATATTTCGATTCAGCATCAAATGGTAATTAATAAAATTAATAAATAAAAAAATAAAAAATAATAAAATTAAAAAATATAATATTAAAACAATATTTAGAAAATTACTCAAATTACATCAAAATGGTAATTAATAAAATTAATAAATAAAAAAATAATAAAATTAAAATATATAATATTAAAACAATATTTAGAAAATTACTTGAGTTCTTTAATCTTAACTTGGTCCCCTGATCCAATTTCAAACTGCAAGGAATTTAGAAGCCCTTTTTTTGTAAAATATGGAATTTGGTTATAGTATTTCTAAAAAATATATATTTATAAATTAAAAAAGAAATATTTTTCCTAAAAAACAATTGGCTTTCGGCGCACAAATGTTGTAAAATGCACTAGGCTTAAATGTTTTTGTTTTGTAATCACATTGGAGGGGTCCAGGGCTTTCACTTCCCATGACCCCACCAAATGGCTGCAGGGCAGATCTCTGGATGGAGCTAGGCACAGGGCCACGCCCACTCCGGAACAGAGTACACATGCAGTTGCCGTCGCCTCGTCCGCATGGCGTTGACCCATGGAGGAGGTTAATCATGCAGCGATGTTACGCGCTAATACCTTCATGTGAGCAGGACCACGTGCGCTGCTCTCGCTCGTTGCGTGTCTAACGCTGTTTGTGGGTGTCCTGGATGCTCTGGGTCTGCAGGAGGATGGGTCCTTGCGTGGGTGGGTGGTTAGCTGAGTGGTTTGGCGGGGCTGTGCTCGGGGTTGCTCTAATTCCGCTGCCGCATACGAGGCTGCCTCCTGGTTGCTGCTGCCGCTGCTGCTGCTGTGCACCCGTAAAATTGATTGCGGCGAAAGCTGGAAAGTTGCACGTTATGCCGTGGCCTGACTTGGTATCTCTGGTCTGGTCTGTTCTGTTTCCGACGGATGCTTTCCTGTGGCGTTCTCTTCTATGGACGTGTGAGTGGGCAGGGGATGTGAATGTGGGTGGGTGGGAGGTAGCTGTGGCCTGGCTTGTTTCCATGGCAAAAGTGTGATTTTGTGCAGCAGCCAAGGTGGGTCTGCTCTCATTTCCGTCTTGTGTTTTCCATTTTCTTATGTACATTTTAGGTATTTAGTAAGCTTTTCTAATAATTTATTATTTTAATTACGAAATATAATAGTAAACGTATTATATTTTAGGAAAATATTTAAAATGTATCTCTAATTTAATAGTAAATATTATTTACTAGTTCTTAATAAATTAATGTATTATTACATATATGTATTTACATATTTTTATACCCTTGCAGGGTATTATAATTTCAGTCAGAAGTTTGCAACGCAGTGAAGGAGACGTTTCCGACCCTATAAAGTATATATATTCTTGATCAGCATCAACAGGGGAATCTTTCTAGATATGTCAGGAAGAAATCGATTTTTTTGACATTTTTGCAAAATTTTATAAGGGGTTACATCATTAAAATTTTTGATTTTGATAAAAAATTGAATTTTCAAAATGTTTAAATGAAGTATGCATATTTATTATTTGTAGAAAATCTTGCACAGAACAGTTTTCCGATTTAAAATAAATGTTCTTTTGGCCGAGTTATGATATTTTTAATTTAAAAAAAATTAGGAAGTTTTTTAATATACAAAATCAGATTTTATAATACAAAATAATATTTTTCTAAGTCAAGGAATCATTTCCGACCCCATAAACCATATATATTCTTGATCAGCATTAACATGCGAATCTTTCTAGATGTGTCCGGAAGAAATCGATTTTTTGGCCATTTTTGCGAAATATGATAAGGGGTAGCATCATTAAAATTAGCAAAAATGGCCAAAAATTTTGATTTCTTAAAATTTTAAATTTGGTTTCCAGTTTTTTTAAATTATCAAAAACTAACACAGAACTGCTTTCCGAATCGAAATTAATACATTTTTGGCTTAGTTATGATATATTTTAATTGTTACCTGCAAGGGTATACAAACTTTGGCTGGCCAAAGTTAGCTTTCTTTCTTGTTATTACTTTAATATATCAATTTCAGGTTAATTTCCATTAAAAGCTTTGAATTATTATTGTGGTAACATTTTTTGAAAAAAATAAAAAAATCTTTAAGTTTAATAACTTGTCTTTAACATGTACACTACTTAAGGCCCTGAAGCCAAATTCCATAATTATTCCTTTACTCACTCTGACCTGTGCTTCCATTAAAAGCTTTGAAATATTATTGTGGTAACATTTTTTGAAAAAAATAAAAAAATCTTTAAGTTTAATAACTTGCTTTTTACATTTACACTACTTAAAGTATCCATTATAGACAGCCTGAAGCCAAATTCCATAATTATTCCTTTACTCACTCTGACCTGTGCTTTCATTGGAATGTAATTTTCAGACTTTCCAAATAATCATCGATTCCGGTGGCTCATCCTCTTGTAGCTGTCACAGATTACAAGCTTATAAGTGCTGTTTTGCCCCCCCGAACTTGGCGTCATTTTGGCGCACGGCCCACTTGGCGTATGCGCAATTTCTATGCACAAACTCAAAGTTACCATGCAGCCATCAATCCTATCCCGAGTTGTGCTTACGTCTGCCCACGCTCCGAATTGGATGGACAAGTGCCACAATTCACATCATCAAGATTGCGTGGAGAGCTGCTAGCAACCTCAACCCATAACCCATATCACATTCCACACACATCACACATCGCATATATCCCAGTCCCAGATCCACATCCCACATCCAATATGCAGCCCACCTTTTTGGCCATGGCTAATTCGCATGTCATGCTGACAATGAAGCGCTCCTTGTTGATGATGATGGCGATGTCGGCGATTCTGGGGTACGGGGAATTAACCCTTTTGCCGAGCTGTGTGCACAGCAATGTGTCTATAAAAAACAATGATGGACATTGGGGACTTGGGCATAGAATAATAGTACATCAAAAATTTTACAGCAACGAAATAAAATCATTTACGCAACAACGAGACCCAAAAATGAAAGGCAAGAAACGAGTGAAGGAAACGAAAAGTGTTGGGTAAGTTTTGAGTGACTATTGGATGTCCTTTTGGAGATTGATAAATAATAATAAGATATAGAGAGGCGATGTGGAATTGGAAGAAAATAAAAGCAAACATTTAAAAATAGATTTATAGATGGTTAAAAAATTAATAAATAATATTAATTAAATATTTGTAGGACGTATAATATGTATACGTTAATTTCACCTGGATTAACCTGTTAAAAACATTATCTATATTTTAGGTATAAAACATGATACTCAATAGCACTTTTTTAATCGTAATCTTAAGCATGATCTTTATTTATAAAGCTCTCTAATTATTTATTAAAATCGATATTAAAAGTAAACTAAAGTAAATTTAATTCCTTGTAAACATATTTTAAAATACAAACATTTTATCTAATTTAAAACCTCAAAACCTTTCACATAACCCAAGTGCCCTTAATTCTAGGCAGGGTATGTCAAGACTAGAGAAAGACAACGCTAAGCGGATGTAGCCCGCTTATCCTTTCACACACCCACTCACATCTGGACATTGGTTTTTATTTTTGCAATATTATTTTTACTTTATTTAAACCACACAAAATACTTAAGACGATTTTGTGTTTTGTGGCCCAAGATGTATTGCCCATGGCCAAAGGAAAAGTGTGAAAAGAACTGGGAGCTGCTGCTGAAAGTTTTCCCCCGGCCCCAGACGAAGGGGAGCAGGAGGTGGAGGAGGAGCTCGGGGAGGGTTAACTAAAAGGGTGATGTGCAACATGTCCGAGCGGTTTGTGCGGCCGGCCCTGCCCAGTTCTTCGCTCGAGGCGTTTGCATATGCTAAATAAGACTTTGGTCCTTACCTTTTGCCAAAGACATTTGTCTCAGACAATTGAATCGGCTCTTTGATGACAGGACGAGATTGCCGAGATGTTCGCTGGGCATCAATAATATAGACGCTGGCGCACATGTCCTTTGTCAAGGCGTTCCCATTCGGATGCGGATCTGCTGACAGAATTTATGACAGCTACGGCTTCAGCTCCACTCCTCTGCGGTACACCTCCTTGGACAATCCTTAAGCGTTTTGAGAAATATGCGACAGCATACAAATTGGGGATTTTTATTTTCATTTCGGTTTTTATGATTTACATTTTTATTTGCCGCTCGCTTTGTCCTGTAAAATGTTTTGGCCACTTTTTTTGATGCCATTTGTTCTTGGCCTTTTTTTTTGCGCGCGACTCTGTTTTTTACCCGAGTTTTCCTGCTCTGCAAATAGTGTGGAAGCACTTAATTGTTTTAATTGCCCAGCATTTTCCATATTTTTCTCATTTTTTGTTAGGCCTTACTTCCATTAACACAATTTACTTTGGCTCGCCAGGGTTTTTGAGTTTTTGGGGTTCTCTTATTTATTTAGTTTCAGGGAAATTAGCATGAACCCATCCATGCCCGAAGGGTGAAGTGGCTTATAACAGACAGAAGGAGTTATATTTCATATATATCATATATATAAGTGTATAAATACATATATCCTTGATTAGATGCAATGATTTAGCCATATACATCTGTTCCCTCTGCCCAAGCGCTACCAAAATTGGTGACGTCTTGCCTGTTGATCTCATTTCTTTGAAATTTAGCCACACTCACCATCCACAAAAATCTAGAAAATGTTATAACAATACTATGAATTCGGTAAAAGTAAGTATGTGTTTATATTAAATAATAATAAAATTAATAAATTAATAATTAAGATTGGAATGATATATTTCCCAAGCGCTTTAATGTTGCCTAACGAGTTATTAGATGTTATCCTTATAACAATGTATCCTTATAACATATCTTCGTCTATACCTAATGGTAGAATATATAAATTTTAATCATCAAGAGCCACACGCATTATCTTGAAAATGAAAATCCAAATCTATTTGTTTATTTAATTATTTATTTATAGATTTCAGACAAGCAATAATGTACATCAATAACCTTTTAAACCATATTCTTAAATCCGAATGTAAAAGGAGTGTTTTTTATTGATATGGCAAGAGCTTTAACTGAGTAAAATATTTTTCATAAAAAAAATATATATAAAAATAAACTATTAAAATAGCAAAATGTTCATAAGTTAATCCACGACAATATCTTCATAGTTGCCCACCAAAAAGAACTGCACTGTCATCGATATTTTTATTTTGGTATCCTAAATTCTCCCTCTTTGTGTTTTTAATATTCCCATCATGTAATAAAAACCCCAATAAAAAGACATCGAATATTTTAAATATTTTTTTTATATCATATTTTAATTTATTTAAATGTTCAATATCCCTTAGTTGGCTACTCGCCAGCATTTTACATTCGTTTATATTTCTAAGGATTTTTATTTTCAACTATTTGTGCTAAATCTAATATTTTGTTCATACCGTTTTACGAATTTCAATGTGTGTAAAAATCAATTACAAAGCATTCGGTATATGCATAAACAAAGCTTTTATCAATGCGCCGGTTATTGTACATCGATTCAGTGGTAGATACATAGATATACCTTAGCACCGGCTTTATGTATAAAACTAACCGAAACATCGGGCCTGGGGAATGGCCAACCCAACCAACAGTAACAGCGAAGCAAAAACAGGGAACATAAATTTTGGTCGCTTGACCTGCGGCAAAGTTATTTTTTCATTTTCACGATTTCTAAACGCGTTATCTGGAAACGCGAAACGGCAAAAAGATATAGAAAAAATAATCCGTGAGTAAAGGGAAGTCAGATTGAATCAAGGCGGGGATTGGGGGGAGCTCACAGAGATGGAGGTTTTGGCTGTGATGGCTTTGAAATACTCTAACTTGGGAAGTCCTTTAAAAAGTAAAATAAATTTAGATATAACAAAAAAGGTTAACAACTTCACAGTTAAGTTTCTATTTGACAATTGTTTTTCTTAAAAATAAATTATGCGTAAAATACTTAATTAACCACATTTACAAACAATTTCTAGATTATTTCAATTCTTGTTTACTGTCAATATCAAATCCTGATAATATACCCCAAAATTCCCTATTAAATATTACAAAGCCAAAACGCGAATACCAGTGACCAGGCTATCTCAGGATATGCCAGCAAGGTCTCCGGGAATGGGAATGGAAACGTTGCCTGCCAGGTTGAAATAACATGAGCAATTTTTAGAAAAGCGACGACAAAACGTCGAATGAAAGATAAATAAAGACCAGAGCACAGGCAGTCAAAGAATGAAATAAAAAATGAAAAGGAAAAATCCCGGCGAAAAAGATGAAATAAAATGAGAATATAAAATGTTAGAAAATGAAACGAAAGTAAAGCGAGAGCGCCAACGCGTTGTTGGCGATAAATCAACATGTGAGAAGGCCAGCAGGGCCACGGATCGGGCGGAAGAGGAGCTGGAGGCGTCTAGGGGCGTGGCCTGGTACACACACACACACAGAGCTATTACATGGTCCTTCCCTCTGTCCCCTCTGCGAACTGTCGCAGCTGCAGATGCTGCGCGCGGGAAATTGGTAAATTTTCCGCAATTTTTCCATTTGCCTCCACATCTGAATCTCTGAACTCTTTTTGGGTTCGCATTGGAATACAAATATTTTTGCAGGTGACAAAAACTGTTGTTGCCGCTTAGGTGCTACGGAATCGAATTCGATTATATATATTCCGGTGTTCATTTGTCCACCTGGGCCGGCTCCATGGTGTACATGTCGCGCAGCAGCCGGGCAATGGGCACATTTCCGATGGTCTCCTTGAAGAACAGCGCCTCGATGGTGGAGGCCCGGATGGTGCGCAGCGAGGGCAGCAGGAGCAGAAGCCGGCCAAAGCGAGTTGCCTGGCGGGGATAACGAAGACGTACGTGGTCGGAGAGGATGCATTGTGCCTGATCCTGCAGCATTTCCACCGGCTGGACATCGCAAAGGCCAGCGGTTTCAGGGGCAAACAAGGCGATGGCCTTCATGCAGCCCACCTCGCTGCCATCGGGGGTGATCTGGCGGAAGCGGCAGAGGATCTCCTGGATGGTCTTCATCTCTGTCTGGGTGGCCTCGTCCTGCAGTACCCTCTCCCTTATGAGTGGTGACTCCAGGATGGGCGTGAGATCCAGGGGAATCGTCCACTGGGCCAAGTTGAGCAGGAAGAGCTCTTTCCAGGATTCCTTAGAGAGAAAATAAACATTAAAAATACATTTGTTAATGTTTTCCTTAATTTAAATATATTTATTTATTTTATTTTGATAGATTCTTACCTGCAACAGCAAATGCTGATCGTTCTTGGAGAGCGTCTGAAAGGGCATGAGGCACTTGACCCAACGCACTGCCATAAACAGCAGCCGCGCCGTCGTCTCCTGCAGCATCTCCCAAGACAGCAGTCGTGAGTCCAGAAGCTGCTGCGGAAAGAGCAGCGTGTTGTGCTGCACCTGATACTGGATGAGCTCCTGGCACTTGTCCGGGCTGAGCAACAGCTCTAGGAAACCATTCGAGGCTGGAGCCCCTGGGCAGGAGCTTCCTCCTCCTCCCATCCGTGATCCCGGAGGCGGCGGTGTAGGTGTAGTGGGCGTGGGAGATCCGGATGTAAAGCTCGACTGCTTGTGCTCTCCATTGTTATTGTTGTTATTATTATTGTTGTTGCTGCGAATCAGTAGGGAGGCATGGCTAGGGGGTGTGGTGGCTTCGCTAAGACTACGGGGGGAGGGCGGTTGTCGAGGCTGCGGCGAACCGGAGGAAGTGGTCAGCGTGGGTGCCGGCGAGATGCTGCCGGCACTTAGGGGAGGCGATGCCGATGGCGAAGGTGTCTCCGTCTCCACATTCACACGCGGACTCTCGCTGCCCAGGCTTAGGCTGAGGCCTTCCTCTTCCCCAGCGGCTCCTACGCTCCTGGATCCGATGCTCGAGATCGATTGAATGGAGTTGCTGGGCGAAGGCGACGAGTAGTTGTTGTTACTTGGAGATACCACCTGGTTGGCGGTGGGGTAGGGCGTTGTGGTGGAGGAAACCACGGCTGCCACAGCGCTGGCCGTAATCCCTGGCAGCTTGCTGGCCGCCTCCGCTATAAGGTTGTGGTGCAGCAGGTGCGAGGGGAAAGGCAAAGCCGGTCCACCGCCACCGTTGGATCCGCTGCTTGAGATCGAGCTGGAGTTTCCTCCCGGATTGCTGCCGGCGCTCAAGCTACTATGAGGTGGAGCCAACGCATGTCCCGGATGTCCTGGATGATGGAAGGCCGTTGCATGCGCCTGCTGCTGCGGCTGCTGGCCTGCAGCTCCATGGAGGTGGTGACCCGGCGGAGCTGGTCCCTGGTGAAAGCCACCCGAAGCCCCAGCCGGCGGAGGTGGATGGGTGGAGATGTGCTGCGTGTAGTTAAACGAAGCCGATACGTTGGTCACCAGCGAGACGGGCAGGTGACCACCGGCATGATGATGGTGGTGGAGACCTGCAGCAGCCGCCGCAGCAGCGGCTGCATGGTGGGCGGCTGCAGCATGGGCGTGGGCATGGTGGTGATGATGGTGATGGTGATGTGCTGCCGCTGCATGATGAGCCGCTGCTGCAGCGGCTGCGGCATGATGGTGATGATGATGGAGCTGGGGATGCAGCTTGGGCTTACGGGGACCACGCTCGTGCTGGACAGCTGAGGGAGAGAAAGGAAGAAGAGATTTGACTATGGAAATCATTTAGAAGTCTTTTAGGTATTACTAGGGAGTTAATAAAAGCCTGAAAAGGAAGGGGAAATAATCTTAAAGAGTGCTATGTTAGAAAGAGGGTATCCTTCCAACTTTTTTATACATATAATATAAATATAAATAAATATATTTATTGTTAAAAGGTAAACCTTTCTTTTCATAATCTAGCTTTAAATCTTGAAAAAAAAACCTTACTTCCTAGTAACTTATTTTCAATAAGCTTTTTCCTTTATATTTCCCTGAATTTCCCTTTGATTTTCCCTGCCGATAAGCGACTTTCCTCCTATCTCGTTTGAATAAAATCAGTTCAAGTGTGTAATTGCGATAATCTGCCTCTAAGTAGTTAAATAAATAAAGTTAATTTCAAGGATACTCCGGCCTGGCTTTCTTCTTTCCCGAAATCGCTCTTTGAAACTTTTTGAGAAGGCTTTGAAGTGTGTGTGTGGACCCAAAGGTCGGCCCGAACCCCGCCCCGCCTCGATTTGCCTGGGTAAATAGTCGCAGTCTCTCCGCCTCGGTGGAGGGAGGGACAGGCGGGAAGACATAATAAACCGATTATTAGAGCCCAGGAGAGATGCAAAGATACCCGGCTGCGGAGCATAGATGAACTGTCCTCGGTCGTGTGAACTGTTGCATATGCCCCAAGCAGAACCCGAGTGCGGTGTGGAGGGGGTGGCAAGGAACACACCATGTGTGTGAGTGTGGCTGCCATGACTTTTATTTGTTTGCAATTAAATGTATCTATCGCTGCGCTGCGTGACGTGGCGCAAAAGGGGTGACATTTTAATCCCCAGCTAATCGCATATGTGAGTGCGTCTCTGTGTAAAATGACTGCAGCCACTTGAAGGACTTTGTCCTACTCCTCCTCAAGCTCAGGGAAAAACTATAGCTAGCAAGCGTAGAGGAGCGAGGAAAAGTCTCAAAGCTTTCAAAAGATCACAAATTTCAATTAAAGAAAATGCCAAACTCATCAAATTTTTATGCTGCGGGTTTAACAAACTTCGGGTCCCAATTTCCAGCGGGACTTAAAAATTGTGGTTCAGCAGAAAAAAAAGAGAGGCGAAAGAGGAAACTTGGGAACTTCTAGCTAACCCTTTTGCCGTGACTCCAAGCCACTCCCCCCCGCTGGGCAAACACAGAAACGTGTGAAAAAGGCAACAAAATTAGCTGTCTGGGCAGGAAAATTTTAAAAAATTTCCTCTTGCTTTCTGCATTCAGCCTTCCTTCGGGCGCAATGCCATTCTTTTTCTTTGCTGAAGACACAAACTTTGTTTGGGAAGGCAACCCGGAGCAGAAACGTTGATGAGGAAAGAAAGCCGAGACTGATTTACTTACTCAAAAGTTATGAAGATGGAAAATGCAAAAGTCGTGTCTGCCTGCCTCCCGAACAGCGGAAGCCCTTGAGGGGCTTTAAATGCGCCAATTCGCATTAAGGAAGATGTGGTTTATCGAGCAGGGTTAAGGGTAATAGGAAGTGCAGCCAGGGAGAGCCTTGAAATATTTTTAAATAAATTAAATATTCCCTGAATAAGCCATATTTTGTTATTTAATTTCAAACAATCATCAGTTCAAGCGGGTTACAGTTTCAAAAATATATTTCAAGATCATTCAGCCGCATAATTTATGTTGTAAACTGATGTCATATCTTTTCTCCGCCTAAATACTTGACAATTGCTCAATTCAAAGCCCATTATTGTCTCGACTATTCATTCCATGGATAACTGAGTTCTTGAACCGCCCCTTGTGGCCATTATGGACTATTAGGCACTTCGGCACAAGCACCGTGCAACCCCCGACCGAATCAGATTCCGACCTCAGGACAGACACCCCTGCGCACATCATCATTCCAGGGGCACATCGAATCACTTCGAGTGTTTTCCTAATTTCACGGTTTATATTTCTTTTTATTTTATTTTCGGTTTCGGTTTCAGTGCTCCCCTCCTCGCCCACACAATTTGCAAACGCTGCCTTATTTACTTTTAATTTGCCTGCCAAACAATCGCATTTTGATATATTTCCTTTTTTGGGGGATTTTTATGGCGACAGTAGTATCTCCCGCATATATAGTAAGGTCATGCCAGGCCAGGCCAGGGACTCGGCTCATTATCGTTTAACGATTTTATTTATTTCGATTTCTGGGGCACGCGTTGCGCTTTTCAGCTTATGGGTGGCGGCTCCTGGCTCCTCTTGCTCCTCCTCAAGCGCCTGATGATCATCATTTGGGATTTTGCGTGCCGCATCGTCGTGAAGTCGTCGTGGTCGTGTCCTGCCGTGGGAACGCGGCAGCTGCAAGGCAGCTCGCTTTTCCACTGCCACTTATCATTAATTTTTCCAACCGCCTTTTCCGTTGCCCATTCTGGCATCCTGACATTCCTGCCAGCCGCCTTTGTCTGGCCAGGACTCTTCTCTCCTCGTGTTCCGTGTGGGTGCATGTATTTTGACATAATTGTTTTTCTCTTCACGGTAGTCCTGGTGCGCTTCCCTCTGCTCTGGCCTAATTAATTGATTAGCTTCAGCAAATCGGTCAATATGTTTGTTCTGCCTCTCTATTCCATTTCTTTTCGCCTTTCCTGCGGGGGAGGATGCGGCTGAGGTCCTGGTAATGAGTTGCTAATTAGATTTGTAGATTGTAATTTTTTTTGCTCGCTCGCTCTTTTCGCCGCTGGGCGTAACTTTTTGTTACACATTTCCGAGAGGCTTGAGAGACTTTCCAGGTGTTCTTTTTTTTGGGAGGAGAATGGGTGTAGTCGATGGCTGGGGAGAGGGGAAAGTCCCAGAGCTTGGATTTCCGTAAGAGCTTATAAGTCAAGTGTTAATTAGATTTCATATTCACGAGGATTAAATAGTTGGTTACAAAGTATGAGAAATCAAGGTGGTATGTACTTCTATATACATACTATACTGATACTAACATATTTATAATCCTGTTTTCCTGTGTTTTTGCCATTAAATATATATTTTTTTAATGTTTCTTTGTATAGTTATTTTACTTAGTAACAATATTTCCAGGAATTGTTTACCCCAGTACACTCTACACTTGATATTCATTGAAAGCCTCTTGCCATTGTGCTGCCATCCGGAAGGTGGCTCCGTGCATGATGAGGCCAACGGCTTTCACGCCTCTCAGCCCCCGTTGGCCCGGTGTGTGTGTGAGTGATTTTAAATCCGCTTTTAATGTTGACACTGACACTGATGGGCCTCGCCCACTCCCTCCCAGGACTGGTGTCCATGACATGTGCAAGCCAGGCGCATTTACATGTCGCACAGTGCCGGACGAAAGTGTATGCACATATCGTAGTAGGCTATAATGTCAATTAAGTAAAACATGCAGCGTGCCCGTGTGGGCGTGTCTCTCAGCCATGGCTTTCTGTGCCCTGCAGCCATGTGTAAATGAAATTGCGTATACGTAATGTGGCGGGCGGGGCGGCCACTCGACCGAACCTGGCGGCTTAAAAGCTGCAAAATAAATATCACAAATATATGTATATACACACAACCCGATATACGAGTATATAAACGCATTGCGTACGGGCTGGCACATCAGCAAAAATCAATACGTTGAAATGTGGTCATGAAATTAGCCGAGTCTGCCTTTTGCGCCAGCGCCAAAAAGTCGTCTCCAGAATAGACATCAACAACAACAAAATTAACATTGAAACCGAACGACACAACGAGGAGCGATTCCACAGACTTGGGCCCAAAAATGAGGCTGGGTCTGTGTGGCACCGGAAACCGGAACCACAGACTGTTGACAGAAGAGCTTAAGCGCCCAGAAGTAGGCAACAATATACCACTAGGTGCGTCGCAACTAGGAGACATTTCCATTTGGGAGTCCTCTTCAATTATTTCACCCTTGGCTGAGTCTTGGAAAGGCTTCTTGTCCACGGCTGTTGTTGTTTGCCTTAGCGCCTTGCCTTGTCTTGCCTTTGCCTAATCCTGGCCAGAAATAGAGCGAGGAGGTGCTGGGGGGAGCTGTTGCCTTCGTTAAGAGCCTTGTTTGCACACAGCTTGTAAACTTTTCGATTTGTAGAAAGCGCTAAAGTTAAAGTTAGTACAAACCAACTCAAGCCGAGTGGCAAAGAGTCCAGTGTTCGCAGGACAAAAGCAAATAAAAGCGAAAGTTGATTACGGTTCACATTCTACTGACAAGAAATTGTTAAATAAATAAACTAACGAGTAATGAGAATATTTTCCTGAGGCAAATTTTTATATTTCAGTAGTAATTAGTAAATTATTAATCTTTAAAAATATTATGTATTCCAAGAGAACCCCATGGGCTTTATAAATAACTGGCAAAGCATTTGTAGTCCTTGTTTTAGAGTACTTTTATGTTATACCATTGTTCTTTTTTAATTTCTCCAATTATTTCTATATTAAAAATTTAGAAAAATATTTTCACAGATTTGTTTAAGGTGTAAATAAACCAAACCTTATACATCTTTAGAAAATTATATTATTTTAAGACCATTGCTGCTATAACTCTGTTTTCTTAGACATAAAAACCATCTTTAACATCCAATCTCTCTCTAAAAACATCTCCATTTTGTTTAGATTTTTTATTATCCCAAAAACGTCTCCATCATTGTATAGATATTTTTTTGTTGTTGTTATGGCCATTATAAGCATCATTAGACATCACTTTTCGGCTCATCACGCACCCGGCTGAGGGGGAAAAAGGACCTTAACATTATCGCGCCCCCATGCATATCGTTCTTTTTTATAAGAATGGGATTCGAGAAGCGACACAAATCACTCAAAATGAGAAATCCGCTTAAAATGCCGCGTAAATATTTGCCAAGGAAAAAAAGCAAAGGAATCGGAGTGTTATGGAGGGTATGCTACGTGTAGTGTGCGTGTCGGTGGTGCTTACACTTTGGTGTATACAAATGCAAATACCATTAAATGTGACAAGTGGCAACATAATTTGTTAGGAGAGCTCTCGGCGTCTCCTTTTATTTTTCTCCACTCTCGATTCGTTGTCGTCGTCCCTCCCCGAGGATATTAGCATACAAAGTAGCCAACATTTGTAAGGCTGTCAGTTTTTTTGGAGCAGGGGCGGTGTCCTGTCCCTGGCATTTCGGACAAAGCGAAATGTGCGGAGCTTGTCATATTTTCCCATAATAACTTATTTGTCAGCTCTAAAGTGCCGTGGCAGGAGGATTGGTCAGCTGAATGCTGCCACATTGCCAACTTGCCAGAAGAGGGAAGAGTGATTCCATTACGTTTTTTTGTAGAGGTTTCGCAGGACACTTTGCCTGTAGGTCCTACAGAGGGTTTTTTTAATCAGAGTAATGTTATATATTTTATATCCCATCTTGTAATAATATCTGGTCTATCAGATTATATTGACAATTTCTATACCAACTCTGCTAGCTTTTCCAACACCTTTCCAATTAACTTTATCGACCTTTTTCGGAACACCAAGAAATCATTTAAAGCAAACGGAAACTTAACAGCAGGAAGACAAACTAAAAATGGCCAACCACAGACGGAACCCACTTCTACCCCGGCGTAGTCATCACATTTAGAGAATCCCGGACAACTTTACTACTCGCATGACCCATCCTCCCCCCATCACCCACCCATCCCCACTCACATTTCCAAACCCAACCCAGACTCACAAAAAATGTTACACAAACGTGCCTTGAACGATTTTTGTGGCTTTTTTGCTTTCTGCTCTAAACAACAAAAGCATTTTGTCTGGGCGTTACTACTACAATGGCGTTTTGGGGCGGAGCGTTCCTAGTGGCGTTCAGTTTTTGGGGTGGCTGACAATGGGAGGTGTCGGAGGATGTGTGAATGGTTTGGCGTCCATGTGTGTTTGTTGTTTATTTACGGCAACCAGCCAAGAAAAACCCCAAAAAGGCAGCCTAACATGAGGCTTTGTAGCGGCAAACTAAGAAAATTTCCCCAAAAGAATGTTAGGAACACGGACAACCCATAGCATGCTCAGATCCCTGCCATTATTGTTCTTACTCTTACTAGGGGTAGGCCGTGTTTTTTGTGGGAGCTTGGAAGGATAAAGAGAGTGAAGATTATTATAAAAGGAAGGGAGTGTAAGGAAGTGACCATTGAGAACTAGAGGATAATATAAAAGTGATATAATGAGATTTTATGTGTTATTATAATTTTAGTTAACTCAGTTATTATAAAACTAAACACTATAAATGCATATTGTTATTTATATTCCGAAAGAGTTTTTTATATTTATTTAAACTAAAATCCTTAAACTTTCAACCTTCATTTAATAAAGTTTCCCCTCTAAACTTTAATCATTTCCAATTAAACTCAAAAGAAGAGCATTTTCTAGTCGGTTCTCTACAAACCCCTCTTAGCTGGTTTTGTTTTTCCTTGGCCCGTTGTGCTTTTGTAGTTCGCCCCCATTTTTTTTGGTGGCTCATGAGCTGGGTCTCTACCAGCCATCATCAGCCGGGAGGACTAACTTTGCTCTCGGATCTGCTATGCTTCGGCTGGAAGGTCCTTGAAGTTGTCCCTGGGACGACTGACATCTAAGTTCGGGCTCTGGGCATCATCGCTTGATTGCCAATACATTTTAGTCGCATTTTCAGCGAGCGGATAATGCGTGTAATCCGCTATTAAGTGCACATTGTCAATCGCCGACCCTCAGCCCAAAGGGCGGACGGGCGGACAGAGGCTGTGCGTGCCAGAAAATCTGCAGCGATTCTCACGCTGCTGCTGCTGCTCGTGTCCCTTGTTTTTGTCCCGGCTTTTCTGTGCAGTGAACCCGTCAATGGTGGCTTCTGAATACCAAATCCCCGATCCGAGCTTGGCTCCTGAATATAGTCGGCTAAAAGACCGCACCCCACACTGGCCTCCCACCCACTCGGGCCACGAGTGTTCATCGCTATTATGTGTTTTTATGCTACATTTAATGTTGGCTTAAGAGCTTTAAAGCTAGCATTGTTGCATTGAGTTGTGTATTCGGTTTGGTTATGGCTATCCGACTGCCGATTACGGTGCTGAGTGGGGATGTGGTTGGGTATGGAGACTGGAGACTGGGCTTAAGGTCTGCACTCTGAATTTGCCTTTCGATTTTTGGGTGAAGTTAGAGTTCCGAAAACATCGGGGTTTGAATGCTACGGAAATGCATTTTTGGTGCTTGTAGATATTTTATTTTATTATATTTATAGTAAAAAAAAATATAAAAGGATATAGGGGTGAAGGATATATCTTTTTGCCAAGCCAAAGACGCAGTTTTTAGTAGGTAAAATAACCATTCTTTTGGTATCACTTAACCACTTAATAGTCTCTATTACATTTATTTTTAAAAATCCCTACGCTCCTTTTCCCTATCGGTGTAAAAATCTAAGTATATTGACAATTATAATTGCTGCTTCCACACTTCTACCCCATCGAAAAGACAAAGACCCATTTCAACACTTTTCCCCCATAAAAGGCTTTTGCCCCCAAGTCACGACCACGGGATTGGGGCTCGCATAATTTATAATCAGCTTAATGACAACTACAGCAAAAATTCAAATGGCATTTTCCCGAGTCTGGCCACAAGCGGAGGTTGTGGAGGTTGTAAACGGAGAACCGAGGACGGGAGGGAGCCCGCGGCATTTTGGTTTCCGAGTTTAATGTAATTTATGCCCAAAAAAACCTTGACGTGGGCGAGCAGGGGCTTCTCGAGCTAATTTGCTGCATAATTAAGTGTGTTTTGGCAAAGTAAAACAAAGCCTTGTTGGCAAAAACAAAGGACGTGGGCGGGGTGTCTAAAGGATGTAATGGAGTTACTCTACTCACCATCCTTGTTCATGGCCGATTGAAAGCACTTGGCGAGGCGACAGGCGCGACACTGATTCCGATGGGTCTTGTCCACGGGACAGCGACCTTTCAGATCGCCGGTGGCTTTGCAGGTGTAAATGCGATTGCGATGAATGCTACGCTTGAAGAAGCCCGAGCAGCCTGAAAGGTATTATGTTAGGATTACACTGGCATAGAGGGATTTCCTCCTCTCCGAGGGGGGAACTCACCATCGCAGCTGTAGATGCCGTAGTGCTTGCCAGAGCTACGATCGCCACAGACCTTACAAGGAATGTCCAGCAGACGATCGCCAGCTGAAAGTAAAGGAGAATAATATATCTATTATTTATTATTATTATTAATTTAAATATTTTCAATTTTATAGGAAGAGTTATATTCAAGTATTATATGATATATGGTCTATCGTATCAGAATATCCTATTGTTTTTTCATTTCGTAACCCTTGATTATCATCGTCGCTCAGGATCAATATGAGAGATCGGCAAAGATTGTATACAATTGTAATGTCTTTGCAAAATATGTATGTTTCAAATAAATATACAAATTTAATAATATTTATTCTATAAGACTGCTTTCCCTGCTTAGCTTATTTAACTTCTATTAAGCTCTAAGCTCCTTCTTCCTAGAGTCCTTCGACCATATCCAAATAGTGTGCGTTTGCCACTGGAGTTGCCTACTTTGTGGCGCTGCTGCTAGTGTGTTTGCCGCGGATTAGCAAGTAAAAGCAGCTCTTGGGCTCACTCGCACAGCCCTTTGACTGGCACGCTCCGCAAATTAAGTTCAACACTCGGCACTTGTCAAAATAAAACGCTCGCCCTTTGTTGTGGTCCTTTGTCCTGTGACATTTGACATATTGTCGCTGGCGGGTTGGATTCCGGTTCAGTCGGCTGGCTGCGGCTTGAGGCTGGCCATGTTGGCGCGTGTTGCCAATTTTCACACCCTGCCCGCTGCGTGTTAACACCTCTCAAGTGGCAGAGTGCGTGCTGGAGTCGCCTTCACGGGGTTGCATCGGAATCGGTCGCTGAGGACCCTCAACAGCTTCCTTCGGCCGCGGACCTTTTGCAGGCCCGTTGTTTTCTTTTTAAAAAATTTTGTATTGTTGATTTTACATATTTCTGTTTATTTATGATGCCACTTTCAGCTTGGCGTCCCATTTTTTTGTTAGTTCTTCGGCGTGTGGGTTACGTATTTATGTGTCAACCTTAAACAATATGCTCTTCGAACTGGTATGGAAATCTCGGACATGTTTTGATAGGCAAAAAAAAGGAGTTTGCCAGCCGGAAGGGAATGGGAAAAACGTGAGAGTTTTGCATTTTTGGCGTGAGACTTTTTAGAATGGGTTAATTCAAAAATCAAAATTATTTAAGGGACAAACTGAGGGGGTGTGAGAACGGAAGGTAGAAATAATAAGAGAATAGAAAACTTAATATCAAAATAATATTAAAATTGAACGGTAGGTTATTTGTTAAGTTATGACATCGTATTTAAATATTGAAGAAAAGTTCGAAACATGTCAAAAGACTTTTTTTTCAATCTTAAAAGTATTTATGTTTATAATATTAATTTAAAAAGTCAATATGATAATTTATCTGATTATATAAAACAAGAAAGGAAGGAACCTTTATCAAATCTAAATAATGTTCAAAACATTTGACTATGATACATTTTTTTGACAAATCAACATTATTCAAATACCATAACTAAGCCATAAGCCATGAGATATAGATTATCTGATATATTTAAATAGTTGTTTGAAATTTTGATAAAGTAAGATAAATAACAATTAAATATATAAAGTATAAAGAATAGAGACGCTCACAATAATTAATGGTTTAGCTGGAATTTTGATAAAGTAAGATAAATAATAAATACATAAAAGAATAAATTATAGACACGCCCAGTAGCATAAATGGTTTATATATAAATTAAATCCACTTTCTGTAATTATATTGTATATTTTATTTTATTTCTTAAATCCATAACGGTCGAAATATTTATGGAAATGATTGTGTCACATTGCAAGCTACAAATTTATGCCACCTAAAGTAAGCTTAATTTCTTGATTTAGATAAGAATCCTTTACGGTCTAAGCCTTTAACAAATTGCATTACAGTTATTGAAGAACTTCTTCTTCTTTGTCACTTTGTAAAATCCTCAGCTCCGACGGTATTCATACCACAAGGACATCGACAAACCGACGCAAATTTTGGTGTAATTTCCCACTGCTCCACTTTACCTGTGCCCATTTTCCGTTGATGGAAATATTTGAAGCCTAGAGTATCCAGTTTGCTTAGATTTACGTTCCACAGTGCGCACTTTTGAAATTTTCAACTATTAAAGGTTTTCCAAGTAGTAATTCAAAGGAATTTCCTTCCGTTGCCGACGCGATTTCTTGCCGCTGGGAAAACTAAAGGCTGGCTCCGATGCAATTGTGACTCCGATACCGATTCAGATTGCGTTTGCGAGTGCGGGTGCGAACACGGATCGCATGGGCTGACGGACCAACTGCGAATGAGGCGACCGAAATGGGAAGCTACGGCTATGGCAGAGCCAGCAGCGAACAGACCGCCAATTACGAAAGTGAAGCTGCCAAGGAGAGGTCCTTTTTTGCAGTCAATTTGACAGGAGGGCGAGCAAAGCCAAAGGCAGCGCCAGCCCAGCAGCCGGGCAACCCAACCCCTCGTAAAGCCACAAACAGCCGAAATGGAGGAAAACTGAAAAGCAGAGAGCGTCGAGATCCGAGATCCTGGCCAAAGGAAAATGAACAAAAACAGAGCCAAACAAGAAAAAAAAAAAGGAGAAGGGAAACCAAACGAAAGTCGAAAATTTACGAAAAGCTACCAAATGTTACATTTCATCCCTTGAGAGTGGACTGCCGCCCAAAAGCCACCCACTCGCACACATACACATGCAGAGGCGGTGTGGTGGACACGCACACACTCACCCAGAAGGTCCTGCCGCACACACAGAGAGAAGGAGAGACAAAGAGAGAAATAGAGAGAGAGAGCGTCGGGCAGCCAACCGGAAAACGCCCTTTTTTCAGTGTCCCGGCCTGATGCGATTACAGCAAATGAGGAGACTTCCTGCCGTCCACCATTTTTGTTTCTCTTTTTTTTCTTCTCTCTTCCCACCCAACACGCACACACACGCCCTAGCACACACACTGGCGCGCATATCCTGTGGCTTTCGACAATTCACCACAAAATGTCAAGAATGACGAAAAGCTAGCCGTGGAACGAGTCCCTGCCGTTGTGTTGGTATGCTGCTGCTGCTGCTGTCCTCCTCTCGCTCAAGGACCTCTCGCTCGGGTATCCTGCTCTTGTTCTCTGCAAATATCTTTTGCCGGCAGAGGACTCGCACTCTGGCTGGCTTCTCTCGTTTTTTTCCCAATTTTTTGTTGCTCCTTGCTGGGTGGCAGCAGCCGGCGCTTGTAGGCTGTCGGATTATTAGTTCTAAAGTCAGGATCTCAGCTGCCGAAAGGACGCTACAGTTTGGGGTCCATTAAGCAGCAAGAGACGGTTGGGTAAGTCTTGGAACTAAACTGGGTTATGTGTGAACGATTTTAAAGGGTTCAAATGGGTTTATTATGGGTACAGTAGTATTTTGTATTGATTAATTTAATGTACAAAAACAAATTAATTGGAAGAAGTTAATATTTTTATAAAAGCTAATTTTTTCTCTAAGTAAGGTAAGGGTAAGCTGAATGAGATATAAATAGATATAGAAAATATGTTTGATACATTTGAGACATATTGTATTTTAAAGATATTTTACGAAATAATCGCATAAATATATTTAAAAACTCGGAATATCGAATTTTAAGATATTTTCTATATGCCATTGAACGGAATATAATTGTCGATGTATTATATTGGACTTTTTCTCTCGATATACATCATTAGAAAGCATTAAAATGCTGAAACTAATATAAAATTGAATAAGTTGAACGTTGTAATTGTAATTTTAGTTTCCTATCTGATAAAGTGGTTCATTTTTTCATATCTAAAGCTAAATTTATTAATTTAAATATATAATGTTTAAATTTGTTAAATATAATTGGTTTTAGAACCTTAGCATCTTCTATTAAATTACAAAATTAAACCCCTTTTCTATTCCAGCGACTGACAGATATCGAAAGAGTCCAACTCTGGCTAAGTAGAGCAATTCACATAGTAGTAGTAGAGGTAATGGATATGGCATATGTGGGCGGAATATATATAGCATTCATATATGTATGTATCCGGGCCATGCCTGCGTGGGCGTCAGAGTTTGGGGCCATTCCGCAATGGCGTTTCCCCAGCCGGCACTGGCTGGAGAAGCCATGGCGACCGGTCGGTCGGTCGGTCGGTCGGGCCCAATGCCCCATGTTGTTGGTATGTTGATAGGGGTTGATTTACTGACTCTCATCCAAATTGAACTGACTTCTGCGACACTGTGAGCGGGACGGCTGAACGTCTTGCACATGCCACTCGGCTTAGGGGTGGAGTCTTGTAAGTCGGTTTGGCGTTGGCTGTGGGGTTCGGGATTAGCCCCATGTCCATTACACAGCCCATTTGGCTGACGGTGGTTACATGGCGCGTATATAACCCAAACCAGGCCCGGGACCCAAGCCCCGCAATACCATCCTGCGGTTATATTAACCAGTCAGAATGCAAAGTCATTTGCAGGCGTCGTCGGCGTCGCTCGTAACTCACCCACTCCCACACCCACATATACACTCGCCCGCCCCCGCTTTCCACACACACATGGCAAATTTGCGGCATCAAGAAGTCGCATTTTTCTATGCCACCGCCCTCCCACCAACTCGAATTTCGAAAATCGCTATCCTGTGTGTGTGCCAAGAGGCCACGCCTCCGTTTCAGGAAAAACTCACCACTTTAAGGACAATCCTGCGCATGCGCTCAGTCGGATATTCGAACTGAGAGGCAAATTTCGAAAAATAGAAGGCTTTGCCTTTACATTTACCCAATCTGTAGGAACTGGCAACGTTCAGAGCTCATTCGTTTCGGTCATCTCAAACAAATCATAACAAAAAAAATTCCAGCTGAATTTTTGTTAGATATTTTATAGCAAAAGTGTTTTGTCAGGTTTAGAGTTCAGATTGTGTCGGGTAAGTTGAATCGCGGAAATAATAATTGCGTGAAATATGTATAATTTTTTAAATTTATTTGAAATACTTGAAATATCCTTTTCAAACCTTTTTCCTCAGTGACCATGGACGGCTTTAATAACGGTAGCAACTTCGACTACAGCGGCTACTCGCAGCGGTCATCGCCCAGTTACAACGGTTTCTGCTGTAATTGTCCAGGTGGCATCTGCCCAAGAATGTCTAGCCAGGACCAGGGCCAGGCCAAGGACCAGGGTATGGGCAGCCAGCGCGGCTGTCCTGGCGGTAACTGCTGTCCCGGCGGTCGTTGTGGCATCAGTGGGTCTGGCTCCCATGTAGAATGGCAATTTGGACGCTAGCATCAAAGAGCTGGCGTTTCCATTGAACCCGGAACCTGACAAGGCAGCTGCAGTCTTCCAAAATGTCAATCTTATAACTGGACAGGAAGAACTTAAACTTTGAAACGGATACAGTTCAGATCTAGCCAAAGCAAGGGAACACGGATAAAATTCATATTCATATTCATGCATTTTCCATTTCATCTCTGCCGAAATAGTGAAATTTAAAAACAAAATATAGCCACATCATAAAACACAGAAAATTTAATATATTTTTTTAGTAACCAAGTGAGTACTTAGGGAAATGCTTCTGAGAGAAATCTTAATGACATCGAAATGATACTTAAATTTAAATATTTATGCATAATTTCATATGCGTTTTAGAAAAATTAAAAACTAAAAATATAAAAGATTTAAAATGTAATAACTAAGCCAAAAATGCATAAATTTCAATTCGGAAAGCTTTTCTGTGCTAGTTTTTTCAAGGCTAAAAAATGTGCATACTGAATTTATAATTTTAAGAAATTAAAATTTTTATCAATTTTAGAAAATTTTAATGATGTAACCCCTTATCAAATTTTGAAAAAAAAAATTGAAAATTTTTTTTCTTTCCGACATGTCTAGAAAGACTTGGCTTTTCATGCTGATCAAGAATATATATCATTTATGGGGTCGGAAATGATTGCTTTTCTAAATAAAAGCATAATACCCTCCAAGAAAACCGAAAAAATTGGAATTCATTAAATAGTTATTTATTCATTTTTCTTTTTATAATAATATTTTTGACAAATTAAAGCCAAAACAAGCATGAAATCAAATCAATCAATACTTTACCTTTTCTTTAAACACACAAATCCTTTAATAACTTTAAGATCCTTCAAGTAATAAGAAATCAGACCCCCTAAAAATGCACAAATCAGTTAACATAGTTCATTTTATTAAATTGTATTTAGCCCATTTGGCTTGTCGCCATATTTATGTTTTGTATCTCACAAACTAACAGTAAATATATATTTATATTTGTATTCATATAATTCTTTTTGGTAATATATATGGGTTATGTAGTAAGTATAGGTTGTTGCTCTATGTTTTGGTGTGTGGTGATCCTTTCGTATTGGACTTAAGTGGCTAGGATTCCTCTTTCCTTCCTCTTTATTTGAAATGTAACATTTGAAGTCTTTTAGCTGCATGGGTATAGTTCATTGAAATGTTCGTAGAGAGGGTCTTGGGGCTTCGGTGATGCTCAAGTCTTTAGATAGAGTTCGGGATTCGACAGAGTTGAAGGGACACTATATATATATATACGTATATATGTATATTAACTGCCACAAGTACATAATATTTGTAAATTATTATCAATGCAACATGTAGATTCTCTACAAAATACCGAATTTTTGTTAATGCTTTCTCTACAATCTCTACATATTTATTTATCTAAATTCATTGTCTAATTGTTATGCATTTTTATTATTATTTATTTGTCTTTTATATTTACAGTATTTGAAAAGTCGATGGAAGTGAATGTTTTGAATTAAAGCTGAAGTGTTTTGAATGCTATTTCGGAATCATAGAACTTCATCGACAGAATGGCTATACTTTAGTTTATTTAATCAGCAATTTAAAGGATTGCTTATACATTTGGGGACTCATTTATAATATATTTTGTAATTGCTTTTATTACCTTGCGTTTGAAAGTAATGCTGAGATAATCTACATGCCGTTAGAAGTATTTATTTTGTAGAGTTCAGTGTGAGGTTTCTGTGTTGTGTGCTAAAACGTGTTCGTATTCGAGATCCTGCAAAAGTTGCGGGCTCTTCTCCTTTGTAAACTGCTGTCTTTATTTGCTATCAAAGTGTTTTGAGTTCATTTCGTAATTGATATAACTGGCGGTGCTTGTTGGTGTGTTCTTTCATTCAGCGGATGGTTTCGCTGGGGGGAAACATTAAGCTTCGATTACGATATTAGTTAGTTTTGTGCGCTGGCCATATGGGTAAGCAGCGGAGGTCTACCATTAATTACACAATATTTATAGTGATTTACACAACTAGAAATTGTCAATGCTTGCGGGTGAATAAGCAACATTAATTGGTTTTATTCGGTGTATAAAATATAAATAGTATAAATAAGCATAAAATTATATTGCAACTTGGTTGTGTGTAAAAAATTCGTTTAACTAATGTTAAATAAAATATAAAATCATATAACAGCCTTTGGTTGAAATTAGCTCAACTTGATTTGGTTAAAAATATAAAACAGAGAAATTGAAATACAATTGCATTAAATAAGTTAATTAAAAGTCCCCTAACGTCTTTTTTCGGTTACACATAAACGCATCTCCGACCTGCTCTTCCCCTAATTGTCAAAGGAGCTCGTTCGCAGCTGGCTGTAGCAGGCCTGGCACACCCTAACTGGCTTCAGGATGCGAAGGCGAGAGATCTCCGACTCGAAACGGCTGCACTTGTTGCAAAAGACTTGCCCACAGTTTCGGCAATGATGCTTCCTCTCATAGAGGGTGAATCTGTATACATATAAATAGATTGAGATTTGAGATTTCTTTATATTCTAAGCAACTCACTTGACATGACACTTGACACACTGATCAGCTCCCTCGTCTTTCAGCCAATGATCAGCCACTCCACGACCCGGTTGTTCCGTAACGCTCCAGGAGAATATGCGACCACGGGCATCGCCTTTAAATTGATATAGATTAGTGCTTGTAATATTATAAATATATAGAATGATATCTTAATCTTTACTCACCAACATAGAGAATCTTGTGATCCTTGGATACAGTGAGCGCTGTTATGCTGGCAGGCTCTGCATTATCCTTGCGATCGTAGGCCGTATGCATTGTCAACTTTGAGCGGAACATTAATTGACGTTGCCAGCGGAAGCCTAAGTATATAAGAATTGTATGAAAAGTAAACATAATTTATTCGGTAATTAAATCTTAAATATTTTATATAGTTAAAACAAAGACATAAGCTTTAACACACCAAAGTTGAGAGCTTAAAAATGTACTTCTTTACCTTAAATTGTCTTTGTTTTTACTCTGCGGTATTCGTGATGAGGATAACCTACCTTTTCTTAGCACTTGATCGCCACGATGATGCCTGTCATTGTCTATAACAACGAAACCATCCGTCAGGCTTGTATCCGATTTGCTAGGCCTGATGGCATGTTCATCTGAAATGGTAATGTAAAAATAATATTGGAAGATAATTAAATCTATAAAATTAAAATTAAATCCATTAATGATTAATATTTACCCTCATTGCTTTTGGGATCAGAGCTGCTGCACCCAGGCGCCTCCACAGTGGCCGACTTCATTTCATGCAGCGACTTAGCTCCCGAAATTGAGCTATTTCTGCGTTCAACCAACGGCTCCTCTGCCTTGGCACCAGTCTCTGCCGACTTGCTCGACTCCTTGCTGTGCTGAGAGGCCTCCGAAATGCTACTTTCCGAGGCGGACTTTACAATCTCTGCAAAGGCAGGGAGATAGGTTAGTGAATTACTCAAAGGATTCAAGAAGAATTTTTAACAACAAACCTTGCTCTTCTTCCTCCGGCTGCGAAAGGCTTTTCATTTGCTTGAATAGGCTCATTTTTTCGTCCTTATTGTCCTTGCTGTCCAAAGAGGCCGAGTCGGGTTTGTCCTGAGAGTTGACCTCAATCCCTCGCTTCAGTTTACGATCAATGGGCACCTGTGTGTGCTCCAGAGACCACATCTGCCAGGAAAAATATACATTTAAGAACACCCAGAAAAGTACGGCAAAGACTTACCCTCACTACGCCATCCGTGGAGCCCGTTATGACCACATTCTGTTGGTCCCACTCGCGGATCTGGGAGAAGGCCACGCAAAGGATCTGCTGCATGCGGTCTGCACTGCCCACGCAGGTGTTGACCATGGCCAAAGCATCGCCATTGATGGACCACACGTGCAGCCAAGTGGCCGAGCAGGTGGCAATTTCGCCGGTGAGTTCGTTGATGGCCACGGCAGCCACTACGCCCGCATGCCCACGCAACTGGCGCACGAAGGTAAACCTAGTCATGTCCCAGACAATGGCAGTGCCATCCCTTGAACCAGAGACAATGACATTGTAGGCGGCACTGGCCGCCAGACAAGTCACAGCATCGGTGTGTCCATGCAAAGAGTGTTTCACACTCAAACTCTTGCGGTTTGCATCAAACTTCCAGATGGTCACCACCGAACTGGTGCCGGCGGTGACAATCATTTTGGCATTGGGACAGGCGCAGGTCAGGATCTCCCCAGAGTTCTGGGCCGCCGCCTCGGACACAAAGGAAGCCCTATCTGTGTCGTATAGCCCCACGCGGAGGGAGTGATCAGCGAAACCCCAGGCTATGTACTTGGTGTACGAAGGCGGCATCATCACCTTGTTCTGCTCCACGGCAAACACGGTCTTGTCGGGCTGCAGTATCTGCCCAACGGGTCCCTTGAGCTCTTTGATGGGCTGCAAACTGGGCTTGAGATTGTCGAGATTGTGGAAGAACAGGCGATCGGTCTGGAGCACTGTGCTGTTGCCTTGGATCAGAGCTGTGGGATCAATCAGAGCCGAGTGGCGGGAGCTGCCCATTTTCTTGGCGGGATGGGCCTTCTTGAAAAGCTGTTTGGGAATCTGGCCAAAGTTGTTGATGAAGCCAATGGTGGCATTCTTCTTGAGGGGATCATCAATGCTAAGAGGGGAAAATTAAATAATTACTTTAAGATTATTTCAAGGCAATGAATGTCCACTTACTTGTAGATATCCACATTTCCCTCGTAGAAGAGATGATGAAACACATTGACCGAGTCCACGGCAGCGGGTCCCTGCTGCTTGCAGCCAAAGATTAAGTCGATCCACTGCAAGTCCAAGAGTTAAAAGAAATTCGATAACCAAAAAGAGACTCTATACCCACCAAATGCAAATGCTGACTGACGTAGTCACACTCCAGGGCGCTCCTGTGCAGGCGTATAAACTCCCGCGGGTCCTGCTTGGCCCAAGGCGGCAGGATCACATGGTTAAGGGTTTCTCCGTTCTGCTTAGTGCCCAGATCAAAGCTGTTAAAGTTGCTCAGGAACTCGGGCAGGTAGAAGAACTCCGGGATGAGCTCCTTGACATCAGCCATGTTGAGCTTGGAGGCCGATAGCCAGGCCTCCTTGATGCTGTGGAACATGCGGTCCGCGAGGTCAAAGTGACCACCCTGCAGCTTGAGGAAGGGCTGGGAGAAGGGCTCCAGACGCACCAGATAAGAGCACACTATCATGGCGGAGCTGTAGTGGGTGCCATAGTGATAGGGTGGAGTCTCCCCATGGGGATCATCCCACTCCTTGAAGCGCTTTTGGAACTGCTCCAATCTCTCCTCAGCCTGGGCACCCATGGGTCGCGAAAAGTCGCGGAAGGTCTTGGGGTTGGTGAGGTCCAGCTCCTCGGAGTCGTAGTCAGCCAGGATCCAGGGGAACACTGGGTACTGCATCAGGTCGTTGTAGCTGCGCCCGGCCAGGGTGTTCAGGTGCATGAGGTACTGGAAGTTGGAGATCTCTCCCCGCACCCAACGCTGCGTCACCGAAGTCTCGCCGATTAACCCGCTAAAGATGCCCGCCGTCTGCTCCACGCTGGCCGTGCGCTTCTGTCCCGCCACCGACTGCTGGGCATTGTCATTCAAAGCCGTGGCCAGCGCCAGGAATCTCTGATTAACCTTGTTTCGAACCTTGCGGGGAAAACTCAACAAGTAGTTGCGTCCATCCTCGGAGAACACCTCCAGGGCAATGGGCTGCAGCAGGTAGCGACGCTTGTGCACCTCCCGGATCTCCTCGTAGGCAAACTTGGAGCACTGCCGCAGCTTGTGACTCACGGCCCGCGAAGTGCTGGAGGAGGTGCCTCCAGAGTTGGGTATAATGGGCTCGTAGGCCCCTGGAGGCAGTGTGTCTATGTCCCGAATCTCACGGTTCTTCAGCAGCGTGAAACCATCCACAATGTAGCAATGCTCCTTGCCAAAGAGCAGCAGGCCCTCGAAGGTGTCCAGTCCCTGGACCCTGGCACAACGGAACATGAAGCTGATCTTCTCCTGCTCTTCGAGCAGCCGCAGGAAGGTCTCATTATCGCTGGTCATGGAGGTGTCCTCCTCCTCTTCGTCATCTTCTGGAGCATTGCCATCAATCGACTCCTGGGGATAAGGAGCCGAGCCGTGACCCACCAGTTTGGGAGAGATGGGAGGCGGAGGGGTTGAGGTACTACTACTGGCCTCCAAGCGGTGAGGATGCACTGCCTCCAGGGAGCTTTGCTGGTGCATTGAATGCTGATCCGCCCCCGCCTCCGCCAGGATGCGTGGCTGCTGCTGGCCATGCAGTGCGTAGGTTTTGCTGTCCAAACTAGAGGCCACCTTGTACTTCAGCTGACGATTGTCCGCTAGCTCCAGCTCCGGACGGTAGGGATAGTGCAGGTAGAAGACATCGTTGCGCATCGTCTTCTTCCGCATGCGGTGGGGGCCCTCGGTGGTGTCAAGGATCCACTTGTCCAGCGAGCAGCTGCCGGCGGGACCCCACAAACCCCGCTCGCGGGTAAGCTCCGTCTCCGACTGGACCCAGTCCTGGTAAACATAGCGCTGGGTGTGCTGCATCATTTGCTGGTACTGCTTCGTGCGCAGTTCAAGAAGATCCTTCACAAGCTGCACATGGATGCCAGTGGACTCGTAGGCTGCCTCCCGGCTCATCGTGGACTTGGTGCGCACCAGCTCCTCCTTCTTGGCCTTGGTGCGGCTGGTCAGGCGGGAGAGGCCACCGGTGACCTTCTGGATCTTGGACTGAATCTGGGTGTGCAGCTCCCAGGGTGCGCGGTAGGAGGCCTTGCGTTCAGCCTCAACATAGTTGAACCACAGCTTGGAGGCCAGCTCCATTACCTGCTCCCGCGTGGTCTGCAGATCGGGCGCCTTGGAATTGGCCGGCGGTGGCGTCAGGGAGACCTTGAAGACCTCCTCGATGGCGGGCTTCTTGCACACGTACAGCTCCTCCCAGACGCGGAAGGCGGCTCCCACAATCAGGTTGCGTCCCTGCAGCTGGTTGAGATCCTCATCCTTGGGCTCCACCGTCTCCGTTTGCGGATTAACATGCCAGGTGGTGTTCCTACTGGTGGCCGGTTCCAGGATTATCTTCATGTCCGCCGTCAGCTGCATCAGGCAGTAGGTGAGGCAGCCAATGAACTCCAGCTCGTGGTTACCAGCTCCAAAGATGAGCAGTCGGTGCTGGATGATCTTGTGCAAAGCCTCAAGCACGCTGACCTGGTCGGTCCGCGAGTCATCGGTGGGTCGGGAGAGCAGGAAAAGGATGCTGCGGTTGAGCGAGTGATGCAGGTGCTCCAGCGAGAGCGACGAGGAGCGGCGCTTGGCCTGGGCAATTAGCTTGATGACAAAGTCAAAGATGTCGTGTGGATTGCGGGCCAGGCAGCCCTGCCACAGCTTGTCCACGATGCGGGCGGTCAGGTAGAAGACATTGGGAGCTATGTGCTGGGTTTGGCTTTGCAGGAGCGGCACCAGCGGCAGGGCAGCCTGCTCACCCACCAGCACATCCGCCGCGAGAAGGTGATCCATCAGGGCAATGATGATCTGTGTTTGGTACTGAACCTGCAGAGGAAGTTCCGCGGTGTCCGGAGCTGCATCCAAGACAAGATCAATGACTGGCGTGGCCTTGTTTTGCATATTGAGGCCAAGAGAATCCACCACTATGACGCGGAGGAAGTCAATGATGCACTTGCAAACCGGATGAGCGGTTAGCTTTGGCTGCTGCGCTCCGTGTAAAGTTTCCGGTGGAGGCAGGACGAAGCTGCTGCCAGTGCCATCAGTGGGCGTAGAGGCTCCGCTGTTGGGTTCGGAATCTGAAGAACGCGAGGTGGGAGGAAAGAGCACTGCCACCAATGAGGTGACCACATCCCCGGCCATCATAACTGGCGCAAAGTCACTGAGATTCTGGTAGAGGCTGAACAGCAGCTGGATGATGGTCTCCGGGTGGCTGTGTAGCCAAGGAGCACACTCCCCGCCATGCACAATCCCACGAACCATGGCCAGGAGGACGCACACTCCTTCGGGGCAAACATTGAGCTTGGGCAGCTGCGTGTTGGCTGAGACGGGGGCTCCCCAGAGGAAAGACCACACCCTGTCAAGGTCGAACTTTGTGTGCTCGGTGGCCAGAACCTTGACGGGTTGACCCATAATCAAGGCGGTCACCAGGAAGTACAACTCGGGCACATCCAGGTGATGCTGCATCAGCCATTCGAGAAGCTGGAAACCAGGTATATTCAAGGCGGCCGCTCTTACCTCTCCAGCTATCTGCGTGGGCAGGTGCTGTATGGTGTTTTGGGGCGTCGCCACGATGACCGTGCCAGTGCCATTGGTGGGCCGCTGGTTGAGCTGCTGGGCTCCCAGGCCCATCTTGCGCTGGGAGACCATCTCCGTAAACCTTAGATAGCCTCCATTGTGGTTGGCCTCGCGGAACCTCACCAGAAAACTCTCATTGGCGCAGACCACCACCAGGACGCGCACTGCAATGATCACCGTGGTGAAGTGGACATGTGGCTGCATAAAGAGCAGCAGCCAGTCCATGCCCAGGGTCTTGGAGATGTCATCGCAGATGACATAATTCACTGTATTCCGTGGAGTAAAGAGCAGGCCGTGGAGCAGCGAGAGACAACGGTTGCGCAGGTATATATTCTGGGCAACGCCACCATCCTGGTCGTCGCTGGGATTCTTCATGCTAGGAAGAAGCACTGCCGCCTCTAGTCCACCATCCTGCGAGCGTGGCAGCTTGGCGGCCACATACTGACCAAAGAGTAGCAAGTCCGTGTGTCGGGGTTGCCCACCCAGCAGGGTTTCCAGCAAACTGAAGAGTATCTCGCGCGTTGAGTGATCCTGGATCTGTGTGATGATGTGCAGCAGCTTCACCAGCAATTGCAAATCTCGCATAATTTTTATATTCTGCTTTTTGTCGCTGGACTCCACCACCAGCTCCAGCAGGTGCTCCAGCAGGGATCTCAACAGGCCATTCGGGGCATTATGCCAAATCTCCAAGTCACACAAAAGGTCCTGGAATGCCGTAACATTGGGTATGGCCGACATATCCTGGCTGTTCACAGTGCCCACCAGGCCGAATGTCAGGTGCAGGATGTGTGAGTTGAGCAGGTGTTTCTTCTTCTTGAAGAACATACCCAAAGTCTGGTAGCAGCGCTTTCTGTCCATCTCCGCCTGGGCAGCCCGATTGCTGCGAACCACGCAGGTTAGAGCCTTCACGCCGGCGTACAAGGACTCCACATCCTGGGCCATGGCAATGATGCCGAGGAGCACATTGCAGCCACCAACGGTGTCAATCATGGCGGAGACGGGATGGGGGCTGAAGACACGGACGCCCAGGTAGCCTACAACCACGCCGCCCAGGGAACGACCTGCTCCAGCCAGGTGACCGGCAGAGTTGTGCAGGATTCTGGAAGTTCAAACAAGAAAGATTCTATAGTATGTAAAGGGGTTTAAGGAGGTCATCATGGGATGACCCCCTCTGAAGGCTTAGGGTATCTATTATTTGGATTTAAGGATGCTTTTGTACTTACTTGATGGGCGTGGCGTTCTCGTGCGAATTCATGTTCAGCTGCTTGGCTATGCTCTTGTTGTCCGCCCGACTGTACACCTTCCTGATCTTGACCAGCGTGAGCTTGGACACCGCCTTGGCATTGAGACCCAGCAAGACGCGATCCTCGGGCACTAGAGGAGCCAGTGGCTCCGACTGCTTGCCCAACTGGGGAGCCTGCAGCGAGCCCATGTAGTGTGGTCCCAACTGGTAGATTGTCTGCACCGTCTGCTGGGCCAAGACATCCTCAAGCAGGTGGCACACGCCCTGCTTCCAGCACAAGCGGGAGTACCTTCGCCAGATGGGTGGGGTGCCAATGTAGCCAAAGATCTGGGTGGCCGACGTAAGGTTGGCGCTGCTCGCTCCCGGATGCTGAGCGATGTAGTGCAGCTTTTGGGTGTGCATGGGCACACCGTCTAGGTAAAGCGACAAGCTAGAGTTCTTCAGGACAGCCCGATTGAGCACCACAACCAGATTGTGCCACTGGCCCTCGTGCAGTAAATCGGGGCACCAGATGCGGGCAATGCCATCATCCGAACCCTCGGGCTCCCAGTCACCTATGCCTGTGAAGAAAAGTGTGAGAAGTCTTTGAATTCTTAAAATGTAAAGCTTTAAACTCACTTTTTCTGGGCGTGACTAGCGTCTCCTGCGTGGACACCACTATAGCCTTGTCCCTTGCCGACAGCAGAATGGACAGACAAGCCAGGTTCTCCTCCCGCGGATTGTGAATGGTTCTAACCAGCGTTAGCAGCCTCACGCAATGCGGGTCTGTCTTTGGATCCGAGAACTTTTCCACACAAAACCAAGTGGAGTAAGTGAGACCAGTTTGTGGCGGAAATATACGATCACCGGCTCCTATGCCGCCTATGGTGTTGGCATCAATGGTTCCTCCAGCTGTGGCCGTGGCCTGAGGCGCCAGCGAAGGCAGGTAGAGGCAACCGAAACCCTCGGCGGACATATCCAGCTCCACGAAAGGGGGCAAAGTGCTTGAACCATGCGCTCGAAAGTCCCTTGGCGTGGTCATGGAGACCAAAGTCTTGATGCGTGTCAGTGGAACAGGTCCTCCTTGCTTGTAAGCCTGCTGGAGATCGATATCCGCACAGGAGAGTGGCTCTCCCAGGCGCAGGAACTGCCGCAGCTCTGTGGGCTGCAAAGCCTGGGCGGCCAGACGTTCCAGGATATACTGCATGGGCACATGCAGGGGATGCGACTCCTCTGCCAAAGCTCGCCGGGTGAGCTTTAGCAGCTTCTCGGCCAGTCCATGATCGCACATAATCTGCTGATTGCGTTCGCTTCTCACCAGCGACTTGATAATCTCGCTGAGGTAGACCTGCAGCTGCACTGCCTGCAGAGGAGCTGCATCCAGTTCCACGGCGGGCAGAAGCTGGAGCATGCACAGCACCACACCGGGATGGACTATGCGTGGCTCGGGAGTGGGCTGTGTGAGATTAAGCTGGCTGGGATGGGCAGGCGTGGCCAGTTCCTTGCTTGGAGAACGCGTGTGTGCCGGCGGCTCGCTGAACAGGGTAATGATGCCGCTCAGATTGGGAGCCTCAAAGTTGTCCAAAGCAATGCTGTACAGCAGCCGGAAGACGATGCACACATAGGACAGGGGATAGGGAACGTTCTCCGAGAAGCTAAAAGTAAAATGTAGTAAAAAAATGATTTAAAAATATATAAATTATATTTACCTAACGCTCAGTATATCCCCGCTGAAGATCTCGTGGTAATACTTGAGCAGCGACTGCTGCGGCTCGTAGGCTCCTGTGAAATCCTGCAAGGCAGACGCTCCTCCAAAGCAACCCAGCAGACGCAGCGTGTCGCAAAGCGAGCTGCTGCTTATTTCCTGGTGGAAAAACTTGGCATTGGCCGGCTCAAAGCGCATGGCTGTGGCCAGGGTCTGGCAGACAATCTGCAGCAGGAGAATGAGATCCTGCTGGGGAATCCCGGGCTGAGGCTGGGCCATGCTCCCGTCCAGGGAAACAAAGACGCTGGTGAGGTAAACAAAGCCGCCAACCTTGCGGAACACGGTCCTCGTGCGATGCGAGTCCTTCAAGCAGCCTAACAGCATGTTGAGTATCTGTATCTTGAACTCCACTTGGAGTGGGCTGACGCTGTGCATCAGGGAGAGTATGTGCAGCATATCATCGTCCCCGCCGGCAGAGAGTATTAACTCTCTTACAATACCCAGAGCCTGCGGGCGGCAGTGCTTGAACTTGACCAGCTCGTGGACACACTTGGCGCCGTTGTATTCCCGGAAAAGCTGGGCATTGTTGTTGGCCCCGCCGCCCAGCAGCATTGTTAAGGCTTCCAGGACAAGCTTGCCCAGGGTGTCCAGCAGATCCACTTCCTGTTGATCAGTAGCCTGTTCCACCACCAAGTTCTCATCACCCTTGGTGATCTCCAGAACATGGCTGGCATAGCGCGTCAGGCAGCCCACAAAGATCTCCAGGATGCCCACCTCCCGGTACACATCCTTAAAGACGCTATTGTGACGCAGAATATTCAGCAAGGTCTTCAGACACAAAATACTGCAGGCCGTCGATTGGTTGTGCTTGAGCAGCAGCGACAGGCTGATCAGTTCCTTGCAGGGCACAAAGTTCAGCTGGAAGACGATAAACTCCAGCAAATCGTAAAACTTCTCCTGGATCTGCGGGCTCTTCAGGTGTATGCGTTCCGCAAAGGAGCTGAGTGTATGTTCTGACTCCAGGATAAAGTAGTTGGCATTCTCCGAGTGGTAAACCCGCGAGATAGCATCTAGTATCGTGCAGCACAAAGCCGGCGTGGTTGACTTGAGGAAAACATTCTGTAGCACCTGGAAGGCGTACACATTCCGGACGCACGTTTCCCGGGAAGTGGCCTGTGGCAGCTGAAAGTTCTGCATCTTGAAACCGGTATTAAACTGGGCCGCTGGTGGTCGCAGCTCATAGAAGCCGCACATGCACAGCGATGAGATCATCAGGACAAGGTTGCGTATGGCCGCCTGGATCTCCAGCGATTGGCTGCGGTTGTTGTCGAACCTGGGAAGTTATTTTGTTAATTATTCATTTAATTTAACGGTATAATTATAGGCTGCTTACTTTAGCAGAAAGTCGCTGAGGAACACGTAGCCTTGGGATGCTCGAAAGTCGTCCATTAGTATCTGGGATACCTGACTAGAGTCCTTGAGGAAACAGAACACGGTGACGAACATTTCGACGATTTCCAAAGGATTGCCAAACGTCAGACGTTGCATGTTGTCCACGCAGAGAGCCATACAGCCCTTGGCTAAAGGCAATAAAGGTAAAGGAATACATTTAGATATATATATATATATATATATATATATATATATATATATATATATAGTATCTTGTTACTCACAATGTATATAGCTAACAACGGCATCGGTTAAGCCGTGTCTCGATATGGTGGTCAGAATTTCGGCTGCATTTTTTCGCCACACAATGTTGTGGATGGGACACGGCGAGGTTATTGCCGAAAAGAGCAGCGTCAGGTCGTCCATACGTGCCAGCTCCTCGGCGGGATAGGGATACGAACATAGTTTCACCAGCAGCTGGACAAACACCTTTTGCAGCAGAGTGCGTCGCTCTTGGGCATTAAAATCGCTCACTGTTCCACCACCCGCCGCAGGCTCATCGTCCTCGACAATGGGTAGATCGAAGAAGAGGTACAGGCACTTGACCAGAGTCGAGGGAACTGCGGCTGCAGTCATTACCTGTAAGAAGTAACATAAGAGTTAGCTTGGGTTCAGGATTTAAGATACAAAAAGAAAGCTAGAGTATATGGAGTTTTTGTCAAATAGATGTCCTGGTTCTTAGTATTTCCTGCGTAGGTTAAGCCAAAGTTCAGAGCTGTCGAACTGTATTATCCTTAAAAATATCTAAAAGTGGCCTTAGGCTTTCAAGTCAGCTGTGCCTCGACATAATCTCATTTGATTTCAGCGTGCTTATTAAATTTGCTTCCAAAATGAATCAGGTTTGGGTATTCTTCAAGCTGATCGAGGTGGTGCTGGGCAGCATGTGTATGTTTTTCCACGTAAAGGGATCGCTGTACTCTGCAGAGCCCATTCCTCACGTCCTCATCTACTGTGCCACATTCATGTCCTTCGTGTTGATTGCCGCTTTGGGTGCCTTTCGGCTGCTGATCTCCCAGAGTTCGGTGCTCTCCACTCAGCTCCTGCTAACGGTCAGCGCCGTGATCTTGCACTACTTGTGCGCTCTTTTGATTATGCATACCGCCATGAAGGATCCCCACTTGGCTGCCATCAACAACACCGTCGAGTACATGGCGCACCCACACTTTGCGTACTGTAAGCAGCAGAGCATAGCGTCGCTGCTCACGGGCACCATGTACCTGATGCATATGTTCCATGTTCTCGACCTGCTGCTTCGCCTGGAGCCGGGGGACTGGCGGCGTCAGGCCGTGGGCCGCTTTAACAACAGAGGGTTTTCTGAGGTCGGAGGTCGTGCTGGACTCTACGTACTGACAAAGCCGTTTGACAACTTCCTCTGCCGCCACTGCCGCTGCTACTACCTTCTGGCCACCTCCCAGGTCCTGACCTTCCAAATCGAGGAAATGGAGAATTTTAGAACTGTGGATCGCATATGGCAGTTTTTGGGAAATGTTCGTTTGAAGTTATGTACAGTGTCAACCGTCGAGAGCGACGAGAGCTTCATGTCCACGCCATCAATAACCTCCTCCAGTGAGTCTGAAGAATACGAGGAATTTGGAGTCGAAGAAGAAGAACAGGGTCGTGGCAAGGGGCGAAAGACTGCTGCTGGCAACTGGCGTGGTCCCAGTGACTCCTCCAGCTTGTGGGCCCAGATCGAGGATCGCAGCACTCTCGCAAAAACCAGGTCTAGTCACACCAGCGAAGCCACTGTCAGAACCGCTGTGACGGATCGCAGTAGAAGACGCAGTTCCTCCGTCTGGGATGATCCCGAGAACAGGGAAAAGTCGGAGATTTTGTTGGTGGAACAGAGTTCGCACATTTTGGGCAGGGAATCGGAGGAACCGAGAAAGTCAGCCCGCGAGTCAACTGTACGCTTTCGAGCTGAGAATAATGCAGATGAAGAAATCCAGTCTCCAAGGTCTAGTAATTCCAAGCTAAAGCCAAGATCTTCGAAAAGTGAGACCGCAGAGGAAAAAAAAGAAGACTTGGAGTTTCCAGAAAAACCAAAGGAGTGGAAGTAAATGAAGGCAATGAAAGAAAAGCTTTAAGTTAAAATTAAAAGAATTTAAAATTTACTTTGAAAAGTTATGAATTCAGCATTTTAGGAATACCCATATATTGATAAGAATTCCAATTGAGTTTAATGTTGCAGTTGGCATGAAAAATGCTGATTGCGCCAGACTTCTGCTTAAGCAAGCTTGTTTACGAATTCATTAATTCATTTATGGAGCAGCGTATCTCAAAGCAAAAAGTCACCTTTATAATTGTCGGAATTAGGATTATATCACCCTTTCTTTAAAGAGCGCCTTTTGCACTCGCCTTTGCACCTCGTAATTCATTTTCCAACTATTTTGTATTGCTATTCTACTATACTATTCATTCATTGAATAACTTGAAGCTTTTCTATGATCAAAAATACAAAGTTACATTTTAAGATGTAATCTTTGAACAAGCCTGTTTCCGAATCGGTCTGCGAAAATATTAACCAATTTTCTCCCTAAAATGCTCTAAAATAGTACAAAATAGTTCCCCACACAGATATTCTGCATACCTGTATTAACGACACATCTCCGTTAGCCAGCAAATTAAGCGTGGCAAGTAGCATCCATCCACTACTAGTTTCCTCCGTGGTCTCCACCTCCAGAAACTTGACGATGGCTATGGACGCAGCCTCTGTACTCTGGTTAGAAGCTCGCTTGCGTATCTCGCTGACCATCAGACGGGAGACCTGCTGGCAGAAGGCCACCACGTCCCAGAACTTTTCGCTCATATCGTTGGCCGGACAGCTACTGAAGACCTGCAAGTGGAAGATATGAATGGCAATTCTGCTTTCAAAAAACAACTCACAAACCTTGCAGAAGAGGGGCAGCATCTCGTACAGCTTTCCATCGCGCTCCTGTTCGCTCAGCGGTTCCTTTGGATGAGTGTATTCATTGAATAGCTTTTTGAGGGTGCTTAGGCTCATTTGAATGCGGGCATCTAGCAGGGCCTCCTCACCGGCGCCAGCCCTTCCATTGGCAGCTGCCGGGGAGCCGGAATCCGTGGCGGATCTGTTACCTCCAATGGGAGAACCATTGTTGGCAGCGGAAGAGCCTCCGACGCTTCCTGCTCCGGCAGCGCCGCGCAGTTTGCGCATCACGTTCATCTCTGTGTGTGTTCGATTTGCGATGTCCTTAGTCTGTAATGAATATGAAGGATAAGGATTATTAGGGTTTTAATTTTAGTATAAAAAATATATATAATATAAAACAAATAAATAAAAACAAGGTGAGGCAGGAAACCCCACCCTACAAAAGGCTTAAGTATGTAAAGAATTGCGAAATTAAATCAGCTCAAATTCCACTCTGGATATTCCAGAGTTAAGTATTGGGAATTACGGTTGGATTTTGGGGTATTCTTTGGCATTTACACTTCCATTTCCATTCGTTCACAGCACAAACACAATCACAGCACCGTCAATTGAGTTGTTTAAGTGGCTCAGAAATCCCAGACTCGCACATACTGCAGTAGTTAGCATTATTACTTGTTTTCGCAGCTATTCTATCGCCGCTGCTGCCGCTGTCTAATTAGCGGCCGCTGGAGAGATGAGTCACAATTTAATAAAGTGCCTTCGTTGTATTACATACGAGTATTTACTTTTTATTCGGGAAGTGAATGAACGAGCGAGCGTTGCCTTGGGTGTGTGTGAGTGTGTGTGTGGGTGGAGGAAGTGTGGGCGACAAAAACAACAACTGCACAATATTTGCATTTATGAACGAGACAGCTGTTCGAAGTTTACTTAATGCGCACTTGTTTGTTTACTACAACTCCCTTTTCGAGTGTTCTCCTCTTGCTTTTTCTCTCTCTTTACGCCAACGCATTTGGGGCAGCTAACGGCCGCTCTGTTGTTGCTTTTCGTGGTCTGCTTTGCCCACACATTCGTCGGCAGTCTGTGTTTTGCTCGACTCAATCGCGCTTCCACGACAATTTTATTGATTTTTCTTCCTCTCTCGCGCAGCTCTCGCTCTCTTCGCGTCGCCCTCCCCCACTAACTTTTTCCAGCACCATGGACCAAATTTGAACATTTTCACAGGCACTTTTCGTGTTTATTTCGCGGATTCGTCACTTACTTTCACTGTTCGTCGCTTGCATTGTGCTTGCAGCGTGTTTTCTCACTAATTGGGCTGCGAATTGCACTTGTTTTACATTTTGTTTCGCGAGTGAAAAATTTAAACGATTTTCGTACTTTCCTCCTCTCTTTTGTTCGTTTAGTGTTGGGCAGCGCCGTTGGAAATGAATCAGCTGCTTAGAGGTGGAAGAATCGATAGCGACATCGACTATCGATATCACAAAATAAATCAAATTAAGCCTAAAATCTATATTTTAGTGTCAATTTATTCATTATTTTAAAATTATTTTAGAGCGAAAAAGTATATTTCCTTTGATTTTAAAACATTGATGTTTCCTTAACTCTACAGCTGTTGTATTTAGTGTTGGTCAGCGCATGATTTTAGGATTGTTATGAAGACGATATCGGCGGGATAGCTATTCAATTCAAATGTAAGCGGTTACTGATAAGACAATTTGAATTAACAATACAATTAATAAAATGTTGTGATTTTACCGTTTCAAACTTTTCTGTAAAAACTTTTTAAATATTGCTATTTTTATTTGATATGAATTTATAATTATACTAAATAATTTATTAAATAACGCTAACTTGAATATTTATTAAAACTTAAAAAAAATAATTCTCTTCTAATATTTGAATTTTATTTAATTATTTTAAATGGTTCCTTAAATTTTAGCCAAACGGACTGCTCTTCAACTTAATTGTATTTCAGAGATGCAGGGCACAATAATAGTTAATTATTTCAATCAACTCATTTTAATTGGAGCCATACTACTGCTGAATTTGTAATTGGAAACATACGGCTGCCCTTTGGCCACTCCTGTGATTGTGCTTTCGCATTTCTGGGCATAAATTCCTGACCAGACAATGTTGATATCTACAAATCGACTAACAGACATTAAGCCATGCATAATTTGCGAGAATAATTAAACAAACTTGTGTCCCTGCAATATGCATAATCCAATGGTCGGTCATTCCTCATCATCAAATGGATAGTTGAGTAATGTTCACTTTGGATGCCAATTGCCAAGTGTTTGTGAGTTTTGAACTTAAATTACAAATTGCTAATTGCTTAGGAACTGCTAAAAAATATTGTTGTAGCTACAATTTAATAAGTAAAGAAATACATTCGGCGGAAAAGGATAAGATTTTCCCTTAACCAAAATTATAGTAAAATTTAATAAAGTCCTAATCCCATACATAATTTACTCATAAACTTAAGTCACATTAAAACTATCTCCTCCATCTTTAAAATACCTTTTCGTTTCACTAAATCAACAGAATATAATTAATTGTCCATAGATGACCCCCATATTTCATTTCAAACCAATAAATTCTATATATTCATACTGCGGCGGCTAATGATCCCAGAAATTGTCTCGAGCAATATATCAATATGTGAAAATTCTCCGTCGGACACACAATGCATCTGCCTGTGGGGGCACGTTAATATTTGCATTTGCACTCGCAAATGTCCTAATTATAAGCATCCACAGAGATATTAGTCAGTTGTGTCAACAATGTTATTAGCAAGTTGATTGTGCACTCGATGCTCGTGTGCTCTTGTTTTGATAATGATGCAACTCGATGTGTTGATCCGTTTGATGGAGAGCCTTTATGGGATTCGATTGACAAGGCAGCTCACGTCCACATCCATGTCCATGTCCCAATTTCAGAGAAGCCAAACCCAATTCCGGGCTGACTCCAAACGAAATGCAGATTGAATTACATTTTTGAATCAATTAGGGGTGCAAATGTGGGGCGTGGCGCGTTTAATGTTTGCCCAGCTGTCTGGACTCGGGGGAGGATTATCCCGATGACTGTCGAGCCTGTCTGCCAGCTGGCCTGCCTGTCTTGCCAGTCTGCCAGCCCCCAAAAGTAGTGGCTGCCCCTGGGCGTTGGCCCCTTGCGTGACTGCTTGAATCCACCCGGTGCTCCATGCTCCACCACTGGCGATTCCCTAATGCTTCTTTATGTGCGCCCGGCACTCCTCGCTATCCACCTGGACAGGTACTTTGCACACCTCTTAGTCTGCCCCAAAAATAATAAGGGAGCGCCGGGCAAAGACCTGCGTCTGCGGCAATATTCTAATGGATTTTTCGTTTCCAGCTATAAATAGGCGGCCAACAACTGACAACAATTGAAACAATATTTCAGACCCTAAGAAGGGGTATATTCCGACACTCAGCCAGGCGGCAGATTGATGGGGAGCCACTGCAAGAAAATCCTTTAGTGAAATTCACAGAGCCTGTAATCTCTCTGGGAAAATATATGAATGTTAGTGTAAGAACAAAAGCTTTTGAAATTGTTATACATTATAAAAAAGGAAGGAATAGTGAGTGTAGAGGGGATAAGTTTTTATTTTGCAGATGGTTAGTTTATTCAGGATCCTAAAAGTTACCGAAAATATATAATATATATTTTCCACAATTAAAATAAAGTACAATTAAATCTCTTTAGAAGTTTAACTACTAAAGTAGTTGTATTACATTTTAAGTTAATTTTTTTCACTATTTATTTCTAGAACCTCAACTTTTTCCCAGTGACACGATTCCCTTAAAAGCTCAGATTATTCATAAGAGAAATGTGGCCGTGGAACGGGTGGGTATCCATATCCTTGACTGAAGTTTCAAATCTTTCATTTCGCCGTCTCTTGTTATTTTCGCTGTGGTTTTGTCTGTTTTTTTGGCAACCGATTCCCCAGCGCCATCCTTTCGCCAAAAATTTAAAAGCGTCAGCCCGAAAAATCATTTGCACAGCATTCATGTGGGACTCATTAGGCTGGAGGGGGGCTTACCCCTTTTTATTTTTTTGGCCTGGAATAAGTTTTATTTTCCGTTTCAGCACTTCGTGCCCCAAACCCAGACGCTTGTTGACAATGAGCGAAACATTTGCGTATCGGAATTGGCAAGACTCCTGGGCAGGGAAAAGCGGCTTTCTCGCCTCCGTTCCCGAAGGACTCTGCCATGAATATTCATGCTTTGGGGAGCAAGCTGCCCCAAAATTGAGATGGTAGACACTTTACTTTCTGGGGCTTTTCGGATTAACATAAAATTTCATTTGATTGTGTTTTGGTGAAGATTTTTATGGGATATAAAGGATTTTATATGGCAACTAACTTGTTTGGGGATCTGATACTACCGGATGCCTAGGGAAATCTCAACAGGCCATCGGATTGATGGGAATTGTTTACGTTTACGTTATGGCCAGGCCAAGGTTGAAGCGGCTTTACCGCGTTTATGCGTGAGAGGAATGAGATGATTAAGGGATGGTTTTCATGGTTGAGATTTGGAATTGATAGGTTAGTTTAAATGCCTCAATTTTTTGTATATTCCTTTGATGGTTAATACAAAATTGTAGCTTAAGTTTTACTTGGACAGAAACAATTATAAAGATTAATTTTATTCATATATTATTCATTCAAATAGTATTCAAATATTATATATGTAATGCTAAATATCAATTGAAATTGTCATAAAAATTGCATATAAATTTATTCAAACATCTCTGTGAACCCCTCTTAAATCCCCTCATAAAATACCCATTATTCAGGGTGCCTAATCCAAAGTTGATTAATGCATAAAATTTGCAATATAATAAAAGCAGATCACGACCATAAATCGACCCAGCCATTGTGCGAATGACATCGAAGAGCCATCAAAGAGATTAACTTGCAAATTTCACAACAACTGAAAATTGGCTTAGAAGTATAAATATATATAGATATATGTAATAGAAGCTCAAGTGTTACACGATGATTGCCGATGGTGTTGACTTGATGATTTTTATGGGCATTACAATCGATCTGGGGGCAAAGTCAAGTCAATAAAATGCTCAAAACAAATCCCGGAGTGAACAGGATACACTGCTGAGTGTGTTTTACGATGCAATTTGGCTCCGATGACGGCACAATATGAAAGATTGATGAGATTGATGCTTGATGAGGCGGCCCCCTGTCAAGGTCGTTCCACTTTTTCGGGGCGATTCGTCGTGATGCGTTCTTGTTGATTCTTCGCTCTGGTTTCAAGTGTATTTGCTTGCGAAATTTTAAAGCAAATATGAGATGGTTAAACAGCAGATAAAGGCGCCAAGGGTATAAAAAGAGAAATTCTCGATGGAGAAAAGCACAGTTCCCTAATTGCATTCATCATGATTCGACTGCTGGCCATCTTTGGTTGCTGCCTGCTTCTGGTGGCAGGAAACTCCTTCGAGAAGTCCCAGGAGACACAGGTGGGACAGCCTTACATATTTTAATGTTTTTGTTTGTTTATTCGTTTAATATTTAATCATAAAAATCCTTCTTACCTTGTTATATCCTTTCTTCCAGGAGCTTGATGACTCCACTACCCCTTTAACCGATAATGGCTTTCCCATTAGCTCTCATGAGCTACCCGAGCTGGAGGTGCCCAGTGATCTCGACCAGGAAGTGATGGATGTCCATAAGATCAATTGGCTACCAGTTTGGGAAGAGCAGGAGCATCTGCGCATCGCCCGGGAAGTGTCTGAAGTTGAGCCAGCGGAGGCTACACCAGCTCCTACCACCGATTCCACTTCCACCAAGGCTCCTACCACCGATTCCACTTCCACCAAGGCTCCAGTGGAGGAAGTGTTGCTGCCCAAGGATAACAAACAGTGTCCCAACAATGCTGAACGTGGCCTAACCAATCTGATCCGTGTGGCTCGCCCTCTCTTACCCGCTGCTCGACTAAAGAACATCCTGGCCAATGCTGTCGAGGATCCCCAGGTGCGGGGTTTGATCAAACTCCTCCGAAGTGATCGCCTCAAGGAGGATGTACAGCGTTTGAGGGCCACCAAGCAGCACCAGGCCCTGCAGGAGTTTATCTGTCGGGAGCTCAAGTTGGATCCCGCCTACTATGTGGAGTATGTTAGGGTGTTCCTTGACATCCATATTGCAGAGCCGCCGACCAGCAAGTTGCCCAACCGCCGGCAGGGCATACGAGGTCTTCTTCTGGATCTCCGTGATGCTGTGCCCCGAAACACCTTGAGGGACATGTATCTGCGACTCTACTCCTCCGATGCGGAGTTGGCCAATGCCGTGCGGCTCATCCGTAGCACCAAGTTTCGCCGAATGCTGCGGGATGTGCGCTCCCTCAAGGAGTACCGCTCGCTTACCGATGAGCTGGAGAAGGCAGGAGCTCCGATGCGCCAGATTCAGCAGCTGGTGGCCAACGCCCTGGGCTGGAGCACCGTTGATCTGGGGGCGGAGACTGTCATTTTGAGTGTTTAATTTGAGGATCTTTATTCGTTCTTTTTTACTGAAATTTTTCACTTTAATTTTTACTCAATCTTAAAACTATTTCTTTCTATATTTCTTATTTAAAACTGAATATCAAATAATTTAATTAAATTAAATTTTGTAAATGGTTTAATTAAAAAATCTTGAGCTTTTTGATCTTACCCCAAGCACTTTTAGTTCTTTCCCTCAATATATTGTTTTAACATTAATTTATCCAATTTACCAGCTTTTATTGTTTATAAAAGAAATCCCAAACTTTATTTTTAGATCTAAAGACTTGCGCCAAGATATTCTTATAGTTTTCCCTTTTTATTTACCCCGTTAATATTTATTTTGTGTGTTTTACTGGGGATACCCCATCGCCAGCTGTGAAGTGTCACATCCTAGGTGCGGTGCAACATCAAAGGGGGTAAGGAAACACCTTTTGTTGTGTTTCATATCGGTGGAAATCGTTTGATTTCAGATAGCTCAGTTAATTGCTTTTATATTTGGATTTGTAGCAACCTTGGGCACTGCGCTTGTGCTGCTCATCTATCACAGTCGACTTCCATCAGTCATCTGTCACACAATTTTACTTCGTCTCTCAAAAAAACGCTGTTCATCTGCGACTATATGTTTCCCTCCCAGACACCACCAGTGGCAAACAACTGGGCAAGAAATTTATAACTCATTCGCTGCAATTACAGAAGTCCGCCACATCGGGATACTGTCGTCGGAATGGGTCTCTGGACATGTTTACGTCTTCCAAAGTCAGGCAACCGAAACCACTTCAAATTCGTTCAGGGTCAAAATCATTAGGGCAAAAATATATGTGTGCACAAGGAGAAAATATTTATTATAAGATGAAGTGGATGTTTCTCAATTTAATTTTTAAGCAATAACTGTTTTTAAAATAAATATGCTCTGTGATTCTTATGAGTAAAAAAATATATATATTCCTTTAAGTTGTATTTTTTTGTTGCTCAATTTTCGTAATATTTTTCCCAGTGTATTTATACATCTTATGTTCCTATGCTCTGCATGTTCTGGGCCGCTGTCGCCGCATGTTGCCGCTGCGTTGCTGCGCCGATTGCCACGCGGCAGATAAACAACAAACAAACACTGAGTCTCGCTGCCACACATGTCGCCGCCTCCGAAGACTTCATCATCCGAGGAGCTGTCAACGCCGCCTCCTAATCGAGGCAACACAGTGGCCGTAAACAAATTACAGACGGATCGGGGCAGACAGTAGCCAACGGTAGTTGTCTTCGTCTTCGTCGTTCGTGAAGGAGCAGCGCTATAAATAAGAGCCAAAAAGGGCAAGGCGGGCAACGTTTACGGAAATACGAGAGCAATTTTTTATTTTATTTACTCAGCCACAAGACCAGCGGCAACTGAACGTGTCAAAATAAATAAACAATTTGTGGAAACACAAAGCCAAGCGCAGAGCTGTGGTAATCGCAAACCAGCTCGATCGATAAGCCAGCTGGCTCTGAACCCAGATAGAGGTATGACTCCGATGAGGTGGCTACCATCGCCTTGAAGTTGAGCAATTTCATGAGATTGCCAGTTGCAATTGATAAGTTGGTGAAGAAAACATTGGACAAGGTGCCACAATGCAGTTGGTCTTGGGCAATCCATTCTGATACCAAAACCAAACACCTGTGTGCATTGAGGAATACTAACAAGTTTGTTTAGTTAGAGGATAATATTTGCTAAGAAATTATTATATTTTTTCTAGATTTTAACTACAATTTAATATTTAATTACTACATGAAACCAACATAATTTGATGCCTGTAAATGTAGCTATGTGTGGCTCAGAAGTTGCTCAACTTGGAAGAAAGTTTTATCAAAGTAATTCTGAAGCAATTTATAACTTTTCTCTTTCTTTTAAAGTTTACAAGGATAATTTCATTACAAGTTGTATTATTTATTTGTGAAGGAAGGTAAGCTGTTTAAAAGTGCAGTTAATTAGGGAAATGTTTTAAACAAATTAAAGAAACATATTTAAAAACAGATTAATGTACTTATACTTTAAAAAATAGCTCAACATTACACTTTTTACCTTTTTCTATATAATAAAGACTTTTAACTTATAGTCCCAGAGTAGAATTCTTATTATTACTTATTTATAAAAGAATAAACCTACAAAGTGGCCCCTCTGCCCTTAATTTTAAGCCATTCTTTGAGCATTTTCTTAAGACTTTTTTCCCCCATCTTTCTGGCTGACACACTTGAAGGTTCAATTGTTCGCCGAGGAGCTTTGCTAGCTCTGGCTCCATGTCTTGGTCTCCATGGAAAAGCCCTCCTCGAAATCCCGCCAATTGCTCGACGAAAATCACTGCAACGGCAACGTTTTCCCTTAGCCTTTGTTGCAACATTTTCGTTCCGCCATTCAAACTCAATTAAGCAAATGGGAGAGTCGTTCACCTTCCCTGCCGGTCTGTTGTTGTTTGGCTTTTGTTGCATGGAGAGCCCGAGAGCCCTTCCCTGCGGAGCTACTACCAATGGTCCAGGTTTCCAGACACCAACACCCGCCGCCACCTTTGGCACGGACCCCGAAGTTGACTTTAACAATAAACAGTGAGGAAAATATTGGGAATAATATATATTTATATCTTATTATATATATTTTTGTATTTTTGATTAATGGGAATAATATATTTTATATGGTTTTATTTTTTAAAATATTTTATGTGCTTGAGAAAGTAGTTTATAATTTTTCCAAAGGATCTAGAAGGGATACCTTCAAAATATTATCAAAATCAGATTGATAAGTTATTGTTTATCATAGTATTATGTCTTAAAATAAGCTAAAACTTTATGGAAAATATAAAAACATAACTGAACAGTTAATTTATAATATCAAAAGACAGCAACCTATGCTCTCTTAATTTGTTAGTAGCCTCAATTCCCATCTTCAGGATCTTTTTTCCCAGTGCAGAGGTGTGCTCCACTCCACTTTCAACTTTACGCTTCGTGCTTCCGCCACTGGAACCCACGGGGTGTAGTGGGAGTAGGAAAGGGAGGAGGAGGAGCGAGTTGGAGTTGTCGCAGTCACTGGCGCACTTCCCCATATCTGAGCCGAGCTGCAGAAGTGCCGGAGCTGGAACAGGGACTGCAACTCCGAATGGAGCTGCAATTGCAGTTGTTTGGCAGAAAGGCGACCATCTGGACACGCTTGGCCAAGCCGGGCAAATCTCGCAACTGTTTACCCACGCCGGCCGGAGCGAATTTTGCTTCGAGCCAAGGCCAATAACCCCCGGTACTCGAAGTATGTAATCCGCGGCAATCCAACGCATTTACCCCACACAGAACGGCCAGCTTGACTTGCTTTTTGGGGCCAAGAACTCGGGCCAGTTTTTGGCCATGAAAAGCGGCTCTTTACGTCATCGAAATGATTGGGTTGAAAACATATCAAAGCGGAGAGGGCAGAAAAAAAAAATACTTCAGCCACGCCAACGGAAGCCATTAGAGGCAAGCCAAGAACATGGACACTGGAGCCCCGTTTTCTGGGAGGAGGCAGCAGGCATTCCGAGCAATTAATAATAATTTCCGCTGCCTCAAACAAAAAGCCAACTTGGAAGCTTTTTCTCGTTCTCGTTGATGCGACTTGGCCACTTGGCAGATGCCTCTGTTGCTGGCGGGGAAGGGTGTGGTTAAGTTTTCAAGTTTATCTTTCCCAAGAACTAAGTTTTAGTTTGTGTTTGCGTTTTCTGGGCGTGTCTCTTTTGCTAATTTCAGACTATCTGTAGGTGTGAAGAAGCAAATCTCAGCAGAAGGTAAAGCCTAGGTTAGGAAAACTACAAAAATTGGTAATTGTTTGGCTAATTTTAGTTACTAAAACTGTTTCTTTAAGCGCATTAAATAAATGGTGATTGTTACATTATTATTTTTAAAGAAAGTTTTACATTTCTTGAAAGTTAAAGTATTTCTTGATGGAAAACGAAATTATATACAAATTTTTTATAGAGATTTCAACTCATTTTCTAGCTTCAAACTGGATTCATAGATCTACCCATCATAAATCCACTTCCAAAGAACTTGTTCACTCTTCATTACTCATCCCCATTTATTGGAGGGTCAAGTTTTCCTATCGCCGGCCCACAGCTTTTTTGTGTCTCGGCCAACACAATGCACATTCCTGGGCTATACCCTCTGGGCACTATAATTATTTAATATAGTATGGCGTACTTCTTCAACTTTTAACAGTAACCCCTATATTAACTACTTAGGACAGGGCGTTACGCATCTTCACAATTCACGCCTAATGAATATTCTCCACGAATGCCCGTTGAAGTGAGGCAAAACCAAACCACAAATCAAATTAAAATTCCTAAAAATGCTACATATTCTTTGGTTTGGAGTCATTAATCTCTGTGGGGCCGATAGAATCGACTCCGCTCTCCATGGAGCAGAAGAACTGCAACTGCGTTGATCTCCAAACAAAGCCGTACTTCTCCTGCCCGGCACGCATGACTTGGCGTTTGCTGGAGCGCTTAACCCAAATACAAACAAAATTTTGAAGGAATCGGAATAGGAGAAGATTAAATACTCTGTTTTTTTCTATAATGATATTTTTTGGGGATAATTTCTGGCTTGTACTATGTACAAGTAGCTAATATAATAGTTGAAATTAGTACTTAACAATCATAATTCTTCTATATTTAAACTGCTCATTTTCTCCCTGAAATACTCAGTTATTGGTTTTAAAAATCCCACTTAGTCACTCATACCCTCTCATACCCTATAGCGCCAAAAAGCAAACCACTTCGATGACAACAATAACCAGAATTGAAAGTGCATATTGCGCTGCCGCACGACTTGCTTTAATCAGCGCTTTTTGATCTGGACAAAACAATTGCCGGCCGGCACAATGCCAGCTCCAGTACATACATATGACCACGAAGGCGCCCTCAGCATGTGGGACTCGGACTCGGTCTGGACTCCCTCCCTGCTCTCCCCAGCTCCCTGACTTCTTCGGTGGCACACACAAAAATTGTTTTGAAA